CTGATCTACGATGAAGACCCACCTCGTTTTCTTTAAAACCCAGTGACCACAAACCAAAACAACTTGATCCATGAATATAAAAGTGGATAAGAGGCACAAGATCGAAGTAGAAGGAAAAAATCAAGAGTTATCCCAAGTTTAACAGCTCGACGGCGAAACCTAGAGGTTGAAGATGGACTCTGATTTTGTTCCGTACTTTAGGCAATACATACAGGGCAAAAAAGTAAAATCGCACTGCCCGATAACTAAGTCTACCACATTGATATTGAATCTAACAATTTACAAACAAATCTACCATATAGGTCACTAAGTCTACCATTGCGTATCTGTTAAGTACAAGTCCGTTTCCTTATGTTTAGTAGATTTATATTAACTCGAATGGTAGACTTATATTATATAGTGTTGGTAGATTTGTTGTAAAAGACTTGTCATGTTCCCAATTACAGTCGAACGAATGGTAGACTTATATTATATTGTTGGTAGATTTGTTATAATTAATAGCTTTCGAAATGAATAACACATAAATCTACTTAACACAACATAAATAACACAACATAACTTTCATAAGTCTACTTCATAATAAAAACAAATCTACTTAAGTAAACAGAAGTCTTTCAACAAACATGAAAGTACAACTACTGATGCAATCAACGTGGCCAATCCATAGCAAACGACGGTACTACCCACCAGAAATTGGCACACTCCAATTTCCAGAAGCAAGATTCACAAAGTTGATCCCCATACGTCTCTAGCAGGTATTCATCTCCCATCCATTGCATGTCTGGTACTTTGAGACAACCACAAATCCTTGTACTTAAAGACTTTTTATAAGCCTGGAAAACCATTTCCACCAGTTCCTCGGGCTTCTGGAAATTGAACGCAGGCATAAAGATCTTTTCCATTGTCGATCTCATTTTCTTTGCATCTTCCCGGGAGAGAGCTTTGACAGAGTTGAATACCTCTGATGTGCCATCCATGGTTAGATGTAACATAGTGTGGCAGTACTTACCCATGAGAAATCCGTTGTCTGATGCCATTTGAATGAAATCACACCCTGCTTGGAGGTTATGTTCGAAGAAAATCAGCGATAAACCTCTTCGCAATTGTGCGGATGGATTTCCTGCCGCCAAGCACCGACTGAAGAATGCACCGACTGAAGAATGCACCGACCCTTCCATGAACATCCCACCTCCACGGCAAGATAATGTTGATTAAATCAACATTCCTAAGAAAACCCGCTTCGTTAGAGATGTTGTTAAGTGTTTTGGACGAAACTTTTGCAAGACAAAGATCCGAATACGAGTTTGAAGATATTTTTAACAATATCTCGTACAAAAGATCAGAAGGAAGCGACTCGAGATTCACCATAGGGTTTAGCGGGATGGGAAATGAATCGTCTCGGTTGTGGTATTTATAGAGAACTCACAAGAGAACTCGAAGCGACTCGAGTCAATAGAAGTTCTCGAAATCGATGAGACTGTTCGTTGGAAAATGCATCAAGAGAAGTTCTCTAAATCGATGCGACGGTTCGCTGGAAAATGCATCAAGAGAAGTTCTCTAAATCGATGCGACGGTTCGTTGGTAACGGTTTATGGTTACCGTTACCATAAGTCTACCATATGGACGAAAATTGCAAAACGTACAACACTGAAACCATAAGTCTACCAAACAGTAGGTTTTTTTGTAGATAGAACAATTCTTTTGGACAAAAAAGTAATTTTACTCCATAAAGTCAAATGTCTGCCAAACATTAACTAGTAAGTCTACCTCAAGCATAACAAATAACTCTACCATATAAACAAATCTACCATAAGCATGTCATATGTCTACCAGATCAAGGTTAACTCTGTAAATACCAAACTTAATTAATCTACCACATTGTTATTTCAAAAAATCTACCATACGGCCGATAAGTATACCAGATTACATAAACTCTACCAAACATACAAACAAATCTACCAACATCTTGTAAGTCTACTTCATGTCATTATTAATCTACCACAAATCAGAATGAAATTTATTTAAAATATAAGTCTACCACAAAACAAACATATCTACCACAAAACAAATAAATCTACCAACAGTTTTTAAGTCTACCTCATGTAACATATAATCTACCACTAACCGGAATGAATTTTAACTGAATTAAATCTACCACAAGTCAAACATATCTACCACAAAAGCGAAAACTCTACCAATTATATATAACTCTACCATAAAACAGATAAGTCTACCGCACGTATTGACAACTTTTTTCACATAAATCTACCGCTAAAGGAAATAAGTCTACTAACTCAGAAAATAAATCTACTTCATTGTCAATAAATCTACCGAAAAAGTCAACTATGCGAGAAAGTCAACGCTTTTGTTAACAAGTCTACCAAAACTTTTGACAAGTCTACCATTCATAACAACAAATCTACCGAAACACCATAAATCTACCTCTCATCGTCAAAACTCTACCAAGAAAAGTCTACCAACATTTAAAAACTCTACCAACTCTTGAATAAATCTACCATCGCCCTAATAACTCTACCAACAAAATTTCTGCGTTGACCAAAATTTCATAAGTCTACCGTCAAAGCTTGGTAGACTTATGAAATTTTTAGCGCCAAAATCTGCCTACGTGGCATTAAAAAATTAATGGCATTTTCGTAATAAGGTTTTTTTCAACAAAGACGAAAAAAGTGTTTTGGGTATGCTATGTTAGTTTTGTAAAAAAAATAAAAATACGTCGAACCAGTAATATAGATACTTTCTAAGGTTAGTGTAGTAATCTTCCCATCTTTTTCTGTTTATGTATTAAACATATAATGAGTCAATGACCAATCCAACAAAATTATATGTATACAAACATATAGAAGAAGTTAATTAGAAAATCTAACATATAAGCATATAGACGAAATTAAACCTAAGGGAAGTATGTGAAGTTTAGGTATTGCGACGATAGACAAGAAAAATTGGGCCATGTGAAGTCACGTTACTCTTGGATGGACCCTCCGTTACATGATAAAATAGCAACTATTAACATTACACTTGTTTTTTTTTCATATTTTTTTTTGGTTTGGTTTGTCATTTTGTGTAATAATTATGCCACCCAATTGCCATAATTGGTGAGCCATTGCCCCCATTACCTCTCCATAACTCTCTCTGCTCTGTCTCTTCATTTCTCTTCTCTCACTTCAATAAAAGATCAACAATATAATATCAAGACATTATTATAGCGAATTATAAAAGGTATGAAGCAACCTTATGCTTTTGTTCACCTACTCATGTTTACGCTATGTATTGGGTAATACAAAACAATTACAGTTTTTGTTGCTATTGTGATAAATATCAAATTTTGACATTTGTTTGTTTCACAAAGTATCGCCTTGTATGGATTTCAGTTTTGTTCCTGTTAAATTTAATTTTTTATATATGGAAAAGGTACAATGAAAATTTATATACATTTTAATATTATGAAAGTCATAAACGTCATATATATAATATAATGAAACCTATAAAATATAATATTGTATTGAAAATGTGTTAGCTGTATAGACTTATTATTAGTTATATAACTTATACATGCATCCTTTTAGCGAAAACAATAATACAAACCAGGCTATATACATAAAAAAACTCGTTTATTAATGATTGTGATATAAATATTTGAGTTATCTATAGATATGTATTATTGTCTGATGATTACTTAAGTGGAGTACTATATAAAATTGGAATGGGGTCGGTTTCTTAGCAAACTTGAACTGTTGCATGTACCGATGTGTGGGGACAAGAGGAATCAAAGATCAACGGCCTCTCTCTCCTTTTTATTCATTAAGATATTAGCGATTAGCTAAATCAGTAGACCATCCCAAAATTATAGATCTAGTAGTTTGGTGCTATCAATTTTTATATAATGTGCACGAGTGAAGAGACTTTTCCACCAATCGTAGATTGACACATCATCATTATTTTGCCTTGAAAACACTCGTAATTGTACGGACACAGAGACTCCTTATCGTACCTTCCCTTACTTTGCCCTGTTGAAAGGATTTTCTTGGTTATTAAGATGCGTATGATTTATGTAGCTATCATTATTAGACTTTAATTTCAAAATCCATTCGTTTCTTTAGTGTAAGAATCTGTATGTATTTGTATATGTTTTGTGTACAATTAGAGAATTATATTAACTAACTAAACAGACTAAGAGTGTGTTGTAAGAATGTTGAGCAAAGAAACTCTATATTGGACAAGAGACTTGAAAAGAGAACCAAGTGCAGCTTCAAGTCCCTCTGTTCTCTCTTCTAATATCTCCAACGTCTTCTTCACTTCCTTAGAGTTATCCCCATCTGAACGTAGAACCATATCCAGATTCTGCAACTCGCTCATTATCGACGACGACGACGATCGACCACCACCAATAAGCTTAGAGACGAATTTGAGGGTACATGTATTTGTCTTCATCGCCGGAGTAATCGACAGAAACACGAAAAGGGATCGGAAGACGGAGACGGCCAACGAGGTGGTCTCAGAGCCTTCTAACTTCTTGAGGCCAAGAAGAAGCTTGTTGGTTTCTTTCTTGACTTTTTTCCTGAAGGAAAAGTACTCTTTGATCTGGACTTCCATGGATTTGCCTTTTCTCCTAAGTGAAGACTGAAGGTTGAGGAGATGCTCTCTGAGGGTGAGGATTAGGTTTCTCGCTGCGTCACAGGAGTCAAGTAACGTGGCTGACACGTCAAGAGAATTCTCGGCTTGACTGATGGGAAGAGAGTGGTTGAGTTGGTGGAGAGAATGGTAAAGCTCAGCAAGATTGAGTAATGAGATTTGAAGAGATTGAGAATCAGAGGATGAGTTTTGGCAAATCTGAAGTTGAGAGATTGCAGCTTGAAACTTAGCAGAAGGAGGGTGTATTCTTGATGGTAGACTTATAGATCTAATAGGCATATGGAGATGAGTTTCAGGAAATGCCATGTTTCTTGATTCTGTTGAAGAAAAGAAAGGAGGAGAAGTTGGGTATATATATGAGTGAGGGCATGTGCGATAAACATGGGATATTTTATTTGTTATATATTTTATGTTACAGTGAATGTTTAGTTAAGCCACGACGCACATGGAGGTGAAGGAAGAAGCTTTGAATGCTCTGTTTTATGCTCTGTTTTGGAACGTGAAACTGATTTCAGAGGACCAGAGCTAGAGAGAGCCATAACTAGATGTTGCCTTTGTGATTCCCATTTGATCAGCCGGAGAGAATGGGCTTTGTCAGAAGAAGGAGACATGGAAACATTTGTCGCAGACCATTTCAGATTTTAACTCTTTTTTTTTTCATATCTATCCAATTGCCAATTTTAACGTATTAAACATTCATCTTTGGTTCATGGACTACTTCCCGAGATGGTCGGAAGAGGAAGAAGATTGTCGCAAACAATATCAACATTATTTTATTTAGAAATTTCCTAGTTACCTATTTTAATAATGTTGATTAGGATTTAGGAGGGCGGTTCAATGTTTTGCGAATTTTGCCCTTTGATTCAGCCAATCAAAGACGTTTTATTATATGGTTAGAAAAAAAAAAACAAAGGTTAAAAAAAAAACAATTGAGTGCCTCAAGGCTGTCATCAGATTCATGATCAATTGGAGGCATCGTTGAGTGTGAGACAGGATTATGAATTAAGATAATGGCTTGTCTCTGTTACAAGAGCTATGGCTATATTATAGATTTGTTTATTTAGAAAAAGGGATTATGTACGAGTATCGTATGTATATACCAATACGGTTAGCGCTAGACCACGGGTCGATTTTGTGTACGGGGAATCTGAAAAGTGGTAAGTTTCAGAAAAAAGATCTTCATGGATTTGGATACATTGAACCTCGTTTCATGGTGCTGATTAAATATATTTAATCGAAACGTGTTTTTATCTGCTTTAGCAAGCTGATTAGAGGTGAACCAAAGATTTCAGAATGGTTTAGTTCGGGTCAGAGGCTAAAGAAGATGAATCCGATTTGCTAAAGGAGAGATAGTACTTTAACAAATATTATCTTACAGTTATTCGACCCAAAAAAAAAAAAATATTTTAGAGGTAAGATAATTGAAAAGTTATTCTTGTCTAAAATTGCCTAATTAAATCATCAGCACAACTTCTAAACCTATAGGATGTCTGAATCGAAAACTATATAAATGACAATATAGATGAATTTATCAAAATTGTCACTAACCATAACAATTGAAATGAAAAAATGTCTGATGAATTCAAGCCATACTACTTTTATGTTCAATTCCTTCTAATTTCTGGTTTCTCGAAGAGCTTCTAATAAAGTTTGTGGATGTCTAATGTCTTCTTCTATCTAGAAACCGAGGAATTCGTCTATGTAGAAGGAAGACACCGAGGAAGAAACCAAAGACACCGAGGAAGACACCGAGGAAGACACCGAGGAAGACACCAAAGTTTCATGGCGATACTCTTCTTTTTCCACCATGACTTAGACATTGTGATTTTTTAGGATGAACTAGTGTATTGTGATTACATCCTTGAGCAGCAAAGAAGTATCTTCTTTTTGCAGCAACTCAGAAATTTCTTCTCCAGCTTCCATCGTCTTGTTGGCCACTGTCTTTTTGCCTTTCTATTGAAATCAAAATCAGAACCGTATGCACAATTTCTGACCAATACTAGAGATGATCCGAAGAACATCTAGATCTTATTTAGAGATAATCATATTATTGCAAGCTCAAAAAGTTAGTTATGTTAAGTTGATACACATGGAGGAACTATTAAAATCATAAATATGTTAGGTTATGCTCACTATCATGTGCAAGTGAGCGTTACTTTATAATATGTTAGACTAATTTTATTACAGTTTCATTAATTATTTGAGTGTTACTTCATAATATCTTATACTTCTCTTATTACAGTAGTTTTGTATGTTATCATGTGTAAGTGGGATGTTGGTTTATGTTTTTGATTTGACACCATAACAAACATGTAGTTACAAGAAATTTGATTATCCAATGCTCTAGGTGAGTCTGCTGTAGAAAACTAATGCAGCAATCTTACTATTGTTCAGAGTTGCACAAAGAGATGGCTTCATCACAATGAGATTTAGGATTTCTAGTCAGCTGTCAAGATGTATACGACAATGAGTCAATGTAATGTATCTCTCAAAAAATTTTGTCTGTCCTAAAGGACTATGAAGATTTTGGAGTACCTGTGTTACCTAAGGTAGTGATGGAGGAACTTCTATGGAAGACATGTCAGAGTACTCTAATGCTTATGTATTTGTATGTTTGAATGCTTATGTATATGCATGATCAAGGAAATTGAGTACTATAATTGTTTGAGGTTTTTATAATTCTATATAGAGTAAAACAATTTTCAAGATAAACTTTTTTGAGAATCAAATGAAAATACATTTTAAAGGTGACAAGCGATTTTCAACATCAATCTTTCCGCCATGATATATCCAACGAATTTCAAAGTTAAACCGGATTAAGATAGGTGTTGTGATTTAACAATTATGCATTAAAATGTTTTTCAGTTATTTATTAAGAAATGCCTAATATCTAGTGATTGACTATAAAATTTACGAGGGAGGTTCAATGTCTTGTCCCCTGATAAGATGGTTTAACCCGATTGAGTGCTTCAAGGCTGGCATTATTTATTTACGATCAATTGGAAGCATTGTTGATAGAGACAAGATTATGACTTAAGATACTGGCGTGTCTCCGTTACAAGAGCTATGACTCTATATGATAAAATTATTTATTTAGAGACAAAAAAAGGATCATATGGGACTATTGTAATGTACGGGGAATCTTAAAAGTGGTACGTTTTCAGACGAAAGATCTTCATGGAATTTGATACATTGAACCTCGTCTTCAAGTCAATCCATGCTTCTTCTTCTCCGCATGTACTGATTCAAATCACGGCCTGGTAATTGTAAGCCCAAATCTTACTTGATGATAACATAGCCATAAACATATTGGGCCCAAAAAATATAGTCAAAGCCCACGGAATAGAACTATGACTATCGAATTGTGACGTTTGATTAACGACGTCAAGTCAACAACACTTGGTTTCTGCGATTGCAACATCAACAAAAACGTCCAAAATCGTGTTTCTCTTTGATTTGTATTTCTCTTTGATTTATCACTTCAAAATTTGGAGATGTCCACCATTTTCCACGAACCCAATCCTTTCTCAAATGGCTCTGTTCTTCTTCTCCCCACGTTTCCTCTTCTTCTCCACCATCATCCCCTTCCTCGTCTCTATCGCTCTCTACCGACTCGACACCTTTGACCCAGCTCCGCTTCCTGCCGATGCATTAGTCTACTCCACTAACTCCACCCCGCCGCTTCTCAACGACCAATTACTCACCGGAGCCGAGTTTATCGGCGTCGCTCTTCTCAATAGCCCCGAGGATATCGCTTATCACCGAGACTCAGGTCTCATCTATACAGGCTGTGTAGATGGATGGGTGAAACGAGTCAAGGTCCTCGACTCAGCTAATGACTCGGTCGTAGAGGATTGGGTCAATACCGGCGGTAGACCGCTCGGAATCGCTTTCGGACTCCACGGCGAAGTCATCGTCGCAGACGCATACAAGGTTTGGTGCGTGATTTTGAGAATCTGGGTTTTGAAAAAACTCAGAATCACGAGATGATTTGTGTGTGTGTGTGTGTGTATTTAGGGACTGTTGAATATAAGCAATGACGGGAAGAAGACGGAATTATTGACGGATGAAGCGGAAGGAGTGAGATTTAAGATCACGGATGCAGTCGCCGTTGGAGATAACGGCGTTATGTATTTCACAGATGGTTCTTACAAATACAATCTCCATCAATTCGCCTTTGATATTTTGGAAGGCAAACCACATGGCCGGCTCTTGAGCTTTGACCCCACCACAAGAACCACACGTGTCCTCCTTAGAGACCTCTACTTCGCTAATGGCGTCTCTATGTCTCCCGATCAAACCCATTTCGTCTTCTGCGAAACCCCTGTGTAATTTCTCTTTCTCTTTCTCTATGTAATTTCACCTCTGTGCAGTGAATTGAATCATCATCATCTCAAGTTGTTTTCTTGTTCTTCTCAGAAGAAGATGCAGCAAGTATTACATCAACGAGGAGCGTGTTGAGTTATTCATTCAAGACTTACCCGGTTATCCAGATAACATCCGGTACGATGGAGATGGACATTACTGGATTGCAATGCCTTCGGTATTTTTTTTGACAAATTGAAATCTTTTAACTTTATGATTGAGCTTTGATTACCATCTTTTTTTGGCTAACTGTTTTGCAAAACAGGCAGCAACAACGTTGTGGAAGGTCTCGATGCAGTACCCTTTCGTGAGGAAACTCACAGGCATGGCGGCTAAGTACGGCTTCGAACCCATGTTTATGGAAAATGCTGGCGTTTTGCAGGTTGATTTGTATGGGAAGCCCATCGCATTGTACCATGATCATAAAATATCTCACATAACCAGCGGAGTCAAGATTGGGAAATATCTCTATTGTGGGACTCTCTTGCATTCCCACATTATCCGACTCGATCTCCTCAAATATCCTGCACGATAGAAGAGGCTTTGAACTATTATATTTACCATCTTTTCTCTGCCATACATGTAAACTCATCGCCCCTGAGAATGATGATGATCATAGGATCTTTCTGAATATTAGGACATTTTGTTTTTTAGTAGCATGAAATATTGATTTGAAAATATACTAGGTGTAAGTTAGACACATTCTTACATAGAAAATGATAAGCATATAAACCTGCTTACAAAATGACAAGGACCACACTAGTACAGTTGTAACATAAATCATTGCACTCAAAACCCAATTGATCATATGTATGTTTCTTCTTCTTCTCTGTATGTAGTGATTGGAAACAGAGCCTGATGTTGCAGGCCCAAATCATTAACATATCGGGTCTGCTGGTAAAGCCCAAAACATAGGACCAGTGAATGAATACGTTACGTACCACGGAGCAAATGGATTCAAAGATTCCTCGAGTCATCGATTGGTATCTGCGATTGCAACATCAATCAAAACGTGTTTCTCTACTATCACTCAAAATTTTTGGTGCTGCTCACTATTCTCCACAAAGCCAATCCTTTCTCCAATGGCTATATTCTTCTTCTCCCCACGTTTTCTCTTCTTCTCCACCATCATCCCATTCCTAGCTTCTATCGCTCTCTACCGACTCGACACCTTTGACCCAGCTCCCCTTCCCGCTGAAGCATTAGCCTACTCCACTAATTCCATCCCGCCGCTTCTCAACGACGGATTACTCACCGGAGCCGAGTTTATCGGTGCTGGTCTTCTCAATAATCCAGAGGATATAGCCTACCACAGAGACTCAGGCCTCATCTATACAGGCTGTGTAGATGGATGGGTGAAACGAGTCAAGGTCCTCGACTCAGCTAATGACTCGGTCGTTGAGGATTGGGTCAACACCGGCGGTAGACCGCTCGGAATCGCTTTCGGACTCCACGGCGAGGTCATCGTCGCAGACGCATACAAGGTTCGGTGTGTTTGTGATTTTTGGAATCGAATTTATTTTGAAAATCTCAGGTTACAAAGAATCAAGGAGATGATTTTTGTAGTGTGTGTAAATTATAGGGGTTGTTGAACATAAGCAATGACGGGAAGAAGACGGAATTACTGACGGATGAAGCAGAAGGAGTGAGATTTAAGCTCACTGATGCAGTCGCCGTTGGAGATAACGGCGTTTTGTATTTCACTGATGCTTCTTACAAATACAATTTCCGTCAAGCCGCCTTTGACTTCTTGGAAGGCAAACCACATGGTCGACTCATGAGCTTTGACCCCACAACACGAACCACACGTGTCCTCCTCAGAGACCTCTACTTCGCCAATGGCGTCTCTATGTCTCCTGATCAATCCCATCTCGTCTTCTGTGAAACCACAGTGTCCTCTTTCTCTTTATCAACTCTGTCTTCTTGTCTGTCTGTGCATTGAAACATCGTCTCAGGTTGTTTTCTTGTTGTTATCAGAAGAAGATGTAGCAAGTATTACATCAATGGAGGGCGTGTGGAGGTATTCATTCAAGACTTACCCGGTTATCCAGATAACATCCGGTACGATGGAGATGGACATTACTGGATTGCAATACCTTCGGTATTTTTTTATGACAAATTGAAATCCTATCTTCTTGATGTTTATGATGAGCTTTTTGTATCATCCTTTTCAGCTTACTGTTAAAAGGGTGTTTGTTGTGAATACTAACAGGGAGTAACAACGTTGTGGAAGCTCTCGATGAAGTACCCTTTCTTGAGGAAACTCACAGTTATGGCGGCTAAATACGGTTTCGAACCTATGTTTGCGGAGAATGCTGGCGTTTTGCAGGTTGATTTGGATGGGAAGCCCATTGCATTGTACCATGATCGTAAAATATCTCACATAACCACCGGAGTCAAGATTGGGAGATATCTCTATTGTGGGAGTCTGTTGCATTCCCACATTATCCGACTCGATCTCCTCAAGTATCCTGCACAGTAGAAGAGGCTTTGAACATCAAGTGTATACACAATATAAAACTTTTTTACATTTACTTGCATTTCACAGTCACAAAATGTAAAGCCATTGTCCCTGATAAATACACAAGACTGGAACTTTTTTTGGACTAAGATCACTAGAAGAGGCTTTGAACATCAAGTCTTGATCTCATTGTTTTTGGACTAAAAAATTAACTTTTCAAATGAAAATGATGGATTGGTGATTTTGTTATAAATGTTAAGAAGAGACCTTAATTGATTGGGTCGAATTGATCTTGTGCTAATCCCATGAATTTGGTTAATCAAAGATTTGTGGTAATATCAAAAGTGAAGATGGTAACAAGTTGGAGTCGAACCAATGTTCTCTTTGAAAGGTATAATTGGTGGTCGTCCACTAAAAACATTCAGATTCGAAAGACTTGATCCAACGATTAAACGCAAAATTATTGCACGTTCTACGCGTTCCATAATTTCAATCCCTCTCATAATTCGCCTTCTCTCTTTCCCGACGTTTCCCGGCGAATAAGCTTCAGATCTCCTCTTTCCTCGCTCAGGTGATCTTCTTCTACTTTTAAAGGCTATCTTCTCCTCTTTGCTTTCCCTACGATTTGTGAAATTTTCTCTGTCTGTTTTAGTATGGAGGCATCCGATTCTCGGAACAAATTGCATTCCCGTTTACGTTTATGGGAATTTCCCGATCAGTATGTCATCGAGCCAGCTGATGGTTCAGGCGCTCCGTGTTTGGATATTAGTCGTGTTGATGCCTCCATGAAGCTCATCGGTTCGTTCTTCTTCCCCAGCTTTTCTGGAATTTGTTTTTTTGTTTTTGCTTTTGCTGGGAAAAAAATAAATAATGGTTGCTGTCTCATTTTCTTTCCTTGCGTCTCTTTCTGCTCAGATCAAGTCGCGGAATGCAATTCATTGCGTGTCCCTAAAATCCATTCCATTTTTGGTGTGGTTGGGATGTTGAAGCTCCTCGCAGGTTAGAAACAATTATCTATCATATAGATCAATACTGTGTTTATATTCTGTTGTGTATGCTACAGGTGTTTATGATTTTATTTTCCTTTAGATCTGGAACCTATTCTAGAGTTTGATTAGATTGCAATATTCTTCCAATTCAGGATCATATTTGGTGGTTGTGACCGAGACTGAACGTGTTGGCTCGTTTCTGGGCCATCCTATTTTCAAAATCACATCGCTCAAGGTTCTTCCTTGTGATCACTCACTTAAAAACTCGCCTGAAGAACAGGTAAAACCTGCGCCCCAGTTTTCTGTTGGAATATATTAGCAGTAATGATGGATCAAAACTCTCAAAGCATTGTACCACTTCTGGCAGAAAAAGATGGAGACTGAGTTCTCCAAGCTGTTAAGTGTCGCAGAAAAGACGACTGGTCTCTATTTCTCATATGAAGTTAACTTAACACTGAGGTAAACGGTTTTATTTTGTATTATTTTCTTCCTTATGCTTACACATTGATGTCGACAACTAGCTATGTTGTAGTTTATGAATACATGCAAAAATGTTTTTATCTGAAATGATCTGACATGCTATCTCTGAAAAGATTCCGTTGTTATTTTCTTTTAGTTTGATATTTTGGTTTGTGATTTCAGCTCACAACGCTTGCATGATTTGGGTGCTGAGTCTAAGTCGCTTCCTCTGTGGAGACAGGTGGCCATATTGTTACTTTTGTGGAATTGATCAAACTTCCTTATTAAACATTAATTAATCTTTCCTTGTTGCTTGTTTGTGACAGAACTGAAAATAACTTCTTTTGGTGCTGTTTCATTTTTTACAGGCTGAGCCGAGGTTTCTATGGAACAATTACATGTTGGAAGTTCTTATCGATAATAAGGTGAGTGTATTCCTGAAGTTCTTGAATTTTTGACAGCCACCTTTTTTTCGTACTTGCAGAATGTCTTACCTTTTGTTTTCTTATGTTTGCAGCTTGATCAGTTCTTGCTTCCAGTAATTCAAGGGAATATCCTTTTTTTTTTTTTATCAGTTGTTTCACTCCCTTTTCTTCTATTTACTCTACATGGCCTCGTTTTAATATCGAATGAATCTTCCTTTTTTTGTCAGTTGTTTCACTCCCTTTTCTTCTATTTACTCTACATGGCCTCGTTTTAACATAGAATGAATCTTTCCTTAACCCTTCATCACGTTTTAATAGTTTTGAAACAGCCATTGGAAAAGATATTGTTGATATTACTCTGATTGCAAGAAGATGCACTAGGAGAAATGGTACATAACTCTCTGTGCTAAATTTTACCTTTGATACTTCGATTTCAAGTTGTTCGAGGGTACCAGTGTAAAAGAATGGGAAACTTTCAATAGGTTCTGTTGCACTAATGTCGTTAATGTGTAAGTATTGGGACTTCAGTCATTTGTATGGATACTAGGATCTTTTTATTAGATAACTAAAGCAAGGAAATCAATAATACTGTTGGGACCTGTTTTTAGAACGGGAAAGCACGATTGTTGGCACCTTAACAGCAATTGAACTTATATCTTTTAGATGGATAGGAGACATATATGTCCTTGCCTGCAGGAACTTCTGATGACGAGTATTATGTTGTGATTGTGTCTTCCCCCTTATTTTGGATCATTTACAAGGTACACGTATGTGGCGAAGAGGAGCTGATCCTGATGGCTACGTTGCTAATTTTGTGGAGACGGAGCAAATTGTTCAGATGAATGGATATTCGTCATCATTTGTTCAGGTGTTGTATTCACGTGCTCTCTTATTGTGAATTCCCTTATGATCATTATATTTATACCATTCACATGCTTTCTTTTTGTATACAACTTTTCTCAAGACTGAATTTTTAATGATTTAATTCTGGATGTTATTTTATCTTCACGCTTACAGGTCAGAGGATCCATTCCTTTTATGTGGGAGCAAGTTGTAGATCTGACTTACAAGCCCAAGTTTGAGATTGTTCAGCCTGAAGAAGCTGTGAGTACTAATTCCTTAATTTAACAGTTGCTATTTTAGCTATTTACTTCTTTTAAGTAACTTGCATTGGGTGCTTCTTTTGCAGACACGGACAGCTGAGCGTCACTTTTTAGACCTAAGGAAAAAATATGGATCAGTTTTGGCAGTTGATCTTGTTAATAAGGTACATATTCTTTCAAATTGACATGAATATTTGTGGAGTAATGTGACTCAAGATGTGGTTCACATCATGTTTGCGAGCTCCTCTTGATCTTTAAATGAAATACAATGCATAGATCTACTTTAACATTATATTCCTCAATCAGCATGGTGGTGAGGGGCGTTTATGTGAGAAGTATGCTAGTGTAATGCAGCACATTACTGGGGATGAAATAAGGTAGTTATCTATTGTCTAATATGCTTTTTAGATCGTTTATATCTTATTTGTCTTCAACTCATTAAAGAAGGTGCCTTATCCTGTAGATACCTGCACTTTGATTTCCATCGCATTTGTGGGCATATACATTTTGAGCGCTTATCAATTCTGTACGACCAGATTGAGGGTTTTCTTGCACAAAATGGGTATGAATTTCTTTAGACATTTCTGGTTATATAGTTTCAAAATATGAATTATAGTCAAAATGGCATGTCATTTTGCATTCTCTTAAATTGCACAGGTACTTTCTGTTAAATGAAAAGGGTGAGAAAATGAAGGAGCAGCTTGGTGTTGTCCGAACAAACTGCATAGATTGCTTAGACCGTACAAATGTCACCCAGGTTAGTCATAATAATATTATAATGCTGCTCTTCCTCATTGGCCTTTGCTCATCCATGCCGCATACTTCCTGCCAAATGCAGAGCATGATCGGTCGAAAGATGTTAGAACTTCAACTAAAAAGGATCGGTGTTTTTGGCGCTGAAGAAACCATAAGCTCGCATCCGAATTTTGATGAACGCTATAAAATATGTAAGTCTCTTATCTTTGTAGCATATCTGATATTGCAGTACTTAGATGTAAATTTCCGGAATTTTGCTTATGCACTTTCGCCTTTCAGTATGGGCTGATCATGGTGATGACGTCAGCATTCAGTACTCTGGTACTCCTGCACTTAAAGGAGACTTCGTCAGGTACCTTTTACATATGTTTAATCTCGGGTCTGAATATGTCCTGCTTATAAGGAAACATGCAGTAATTAAGAAGGGAGAGTTTTGTAGATTTACTCTACAAGCCATCTAATGTGTCTCTAACTTAACTGGCTTAATTCTAGGTTTGGGCATCGGACTGCCCAAGGTGTCCTTAAAGATGGTTGGAGCTCACTCGTACGCTATTACCTGAATAACTTTGCTGATGGAACAAAGCAGGTCGGTGGCTTTTCATACTCAGTAACTATACTTTGTATAATATAATAATGTTCAGTTGTAATAATACTTAGAACTGTGTACGACTTCTCGTCGTACCCCTGAGACTGGAACGTGTCCTGACTCTAGTTAATTTTGGTTGTGTGCAAAAGGATGCTATTGATCTCCTGCAAGGGCACTATATAGTTGCTGTGAGCCGAGACATGGCCCCTGTTCCTCAAAAGGGTGGCCTAGAGGCTATAGCCGTAAGCATTCATCAATTAAGATTAAAACTATGCCCGCTCCAGTTTCTCAGTATATAAAGAATCCTAGTCTAACAACAAAGTGATTTGAATTTCTCAGAACTTCCCAGTGGCATTGGCTGTGGTTCTGATCAGTTTCTGGTTTGCGACATTGTCTCTGAAACAAGGTATGAAATCTGATCTTTCTTTTGCGGTATGGTTACAAACCTGATTATAAAACCGTGTAAAATGCTGAGCAGCTGGGAGTGATTATAAGCATAAGCACTTGTTCTTCTCGTTCTTGTGGACGGGCATCTGTGTGGGCGTTGCGGCACTGGTTAGGGCTAATGGCCGGATCTTCTGCAACCGACCTCGCCTGCACAAGCCCAGAGGATGATCCATTTTTCTCCACCGGGGTGACCATTGTGATCACAAACTAAGACATGGGGCTCAAGTCAGAGCCAAAAATTTTCTCTTTTTGCTATTTTATTTGTATCAAAGTTGGACCTTGTGACGCCATCTAGAGGCAATTGTCTCAGGTGGGGTTCCCTTACGATTTTAATACTCCCACTGCCACCAATTACTCGGATACAATTACATTTAGAATTACACATCTTTCTTCCTTTTCACTTTTCAGTCTATGATTTAGTCAGGCTTAGTATATGAAAGTCTCCGTAATTCAACTTCACGTATAGGAATTGATGCAAGAGGAGGAAAAGAGCCGTATGTATGTAGCCAAAGTTGGGTATTTATATCGGGCTACGCCCATTAGTACAGTATATCACAATAATAATGGCCTGATTCGCTGTCCAAGAGTGGTTATTATATAGCACGAAAATCAAAGACGGTTGTTTTTTTCTCGTTTTTGCCGCCAAACTGTGCTCCTTTGGCGAGTTCAACCTATTTTCAATTTTTTATTGATTCGGCCTTCTGAGTCGCAAACAGAGCGAACGCTAGCTGATATCTGTTGAGGTACTTGTCTTTTTCGACGATGCTCTGTCTTGATATTTGGTTTTAGACTAAAAGCAGAGGGAGGAAGGAGGAAAGCAGGAAGCAGTTCAATAATGAAGCAAATCTTAGGAAAGAAACCTGTGGCTGCTGTGTGAAGGAGATTTGAGAGTTGCTTCAGTTGTGCGAAATGGTCATGTATTCAGTATTTATTACAATTATATAAGGTAAGGAGTGAAAGTTAATAGTTTGCTTGATCTCACCAACAACGGTTTTAACCGTTCAAATCAAATATTAAATCATTTAGATATGGTAAGATCTAACATTAAAAAGAATGAGTAAACTTCCTCACAAAAGAAGAATAATTTAATCAAAACTTGGAAAACCAGAGAACAAAAATAGCACACAAATTTTGGGATCTCTGACTTTCCTGTCAAAAGATGGGAAAAAAAAAGAAGATAATAAAGCAAGTCTCTTCTTACCTTTTTCAGCTTTGCTCAATTCCTTCACAAATCATTCAAAACACCTTTGAGGAGATCCAATCCCTCAGCAGAGATGCTCCTCCTCTTATGAGACTTAGGTATCTCAATCCGAGGAGGCGGTTCCGGCGAGAAACAGACAACCACTACAGTAAGATTATCACAGCTGTTGCGTTGAAGGGCTTCCTTGACCAGAGCTTCAGAGCATCTCTCAGGATCATTATGCTGCATCAGCTCCCTCCTCACCATTGTCACTGCACACTGGCTACTCATCACATCCCATAGCCCATCACACCCCATTATGAGAAACTCATCTTCCTCCGTCAACACAATCTCCTCCAGCTCAGGCTCGCAGCTAAGCGGGCAGAGCGACCCTTTGGTTCCCTTAATGTGCCAATCTCCTAAAGCTCGAGCCACAGAGAGCTGTCCGTTAAGATATCCATCGTAGATGACACCTCCGAGCTTCTCAATGCGTAGCCGCTCCGATGTGCAGTTGGGTTTGTGGTCCTTTGATAGCTCAATGGCTCTGCCACGTTTACCTAGCACGGCTCTTGAGTCGCCAGCGTTTGCAATCAGCATGGTCTTGTCCAAGATGAGGGCAGTGAGTGCGGTTGTGCCTGAGGATCTGTCGAGAGAGGAAGCATCTGCTAAAGCATGATCCGTCTTCACAAAGGCACTCCTTGTTGCCTTCTTGGTGCTGCTTGGGAAATGTTTGTCTTCCGTCACAAGCTTCAAAATGTTCTTCTTTGTGAACGATGCAGCATCTACACCTCCGTGCCCATCAAACACCTTCATAAAAAACTCAACTTTTTGTAAAACAAAACAGAGCATTTGATCAGATCTCAACAAAAACAAAATTTTGACTTTATATATTATACCCCATAGAAAGCTCCAGTGGTTGATCCAATATGCTCAGTGAGATCATCAACGCAGATGAATTCGTCTTCCATTGATCGCTTTGGCCCTTTATCCGACCAACTTCCAGATCTGAACACAGGCTGGAATGTTGAGTTTACTCCTTCCGGTGATTTTGCACCAAATCTCTCCTCTCCTTCCTGCGCCATTTTCATTACACATTGTTAATTAAATCGCTTTTTGAATCACAAAAAGGTCTCATTGATTAGGTAAAGAGATTCCGATCGAGAGGATTCACGGCCGATCTAGCTACATTTTTCGACTCTGTTTCGTGATCGTTTTGAGGAGAAACGAGAAAGAAGAAAAAAAAAAGCAAAGAAGAAATGAACCAACGGAATCGATCAACCAAGCAGTGCTATTGCAATGGCGCATTGCAGAGAGATTCCTTGGAGGCTTTCCAGAGGAGGCGAGGTGCGCAGCCATTTTGTCATCTCCGACCTCTAAATTGTTTATCATCGGCGAAACTTCCGTCACCGGTGCCATTTCCAGATTCCGATCAGCTTTCTTTTGCTCAGAATCATCTCTTTTGTATATATAAAAATAGCTTTTTTCTTCTTCTACCTTCTCCTTATTTTACTCACCAATTAGCTCTTTGGCTTCCACGTGTACTTCCCATTTCCAACTTTTCTTTAATTGCATTAGAAAAGCCCATTAAAAAGGCCGAAAACAGAACCATAAACAGAGTATCTCACTTAAACCAGCCAGAGTCACGATAGAGACCAAAGATCAAAAGAACTTTTCTTTAATTTGAATAGTAAAATAAAATCATTTCTAAGTTTCTTCTTTTTTGCCGACTGCTTCCCTTTCCTTTTTTTTTTTTTTTGAATAATTTTAATTTCTTCCATTTCCTTGTTAACACAGAGCAAGTGTATACAGAAGTTATAGCGAAAATGAAGGGTGTGTCGGTGTTTTACCCTCAAACAAACCCATTGTTTTGCGTCGGCATCTTCACCGAGACTCAGTGGAGTTTTGATTAGCCTTTGAATCAATTTCCAAATCCCTATTGACAATTTCATTTGGTACACTTTCAATTTTCATTGCTTTTTCGATTTTTTTTTTTTGTTTTCCAATGAACAGAGGATAATTAGACTGTGATTTTGTGAATTTGGGTCTCTATCCTAGTGGAATTAGGCGTCAAGAAATTTGGAAACTATCGCTTTTAAGGAATAAAAAAACAAGAAGCAAGCGTTGACTTGAGTGGTCTATTTTTTTTTTTTTTTTTTTTTGGGCACTAACTCGAAGGCGCAAGAGCTGAGATTTTTTTCCAGTGTCTAAAGTCCGAGTGGTGTTTTTGGTAAAAGGAGTTTCTTGATTTAATGTGGAAGTAATCATATGAGGAAGAGAGTGGGCTGGGTAAAGATTCATCATTGATACAGTGATAGCTCCACTGAGACAAAAGGATATATCATATGAGTGAGTGAGAGTTGAATCTATGACCACCATTCTCAAAGGACCTCCACTTTCTAGATTATTTAAGAGGCACTCAATCACTCGCTTCACCATTTCCTCAAAAGCGACAGGTTAAGCATATATCTTCCTTCAACATTCCAGAGCTTTTTAGTTCTGATTAGGCCTGTTAATGGAGGTCACTCCAGTAACTTGACCTTCCTCTCTCTTTACTTTCTGAAACAGGAAGCTGCTGAAATTTGAGAAGATGAAGTGGCTTCTGCTTTTGCTCATCGTCTGCGATGCAGTTCCTCTACAAGGACTCACCACAAATGTCTCTGCGAGGCCCCAAGTTGTGAACATCGGTTCGGTTTTCACATTCACTTCTCTCATTGGTAGAGTCATCAAAGTTGCTATGGAAGCCGCTGTTGAAGACGTGAATGCCAACCCCAGCGTTCTTAACAACACTCAACTCAGGATCATCATGCATGACACCAAATTCAATGGATTCATGAGCATCATGGAACGTAAGTGAGACTTCTCTGTGAAATGATCATTAAGTGTTTTCTGTCTTGTTTATGGATATCAAAGCAGTTTCTTCTCTTTTTAAGTTCAGTAACATGTTAGTATCCTCAAGGCCCATATTATTGACTGATTTGTTTTGTTTCACATTTGAAAGCTCTGCGATTCATGGAATCTGAGACAGTGGCAATAATAGGGCCTCAGAGATCAACATCCGCTCGAGTAGTAGCTCATGTTGCATCAGAACTAAAGATTCCTATACTATCCTTCACTGCCACAGACCCTACCATGTCTCCTCTGCAATTCCCTTTCTTCATCAGAACTTCACAAAATGATCTCTATCAGATGGCCGCCATAGCAGACATTGTTCATTTCTATGGTTGGAGAGAGGTGATAGCAATATATGCGGATGATGATTATGGCCAAAATGGTGTAGCTGCCTTGGGAGACAAGTTAGCTGAGAAGCGCTGCAGAATCTCATACAAAGCAGCTTTGCCTCCTGAACCTACCAGAGAGAACATCACTAACTTGCTGATTAAGGTAGCTTTGAGTGAGTCAAGGATCATTGTTGTTCACGCTTCTTTCATCTGGGGCTTAGAGGTTTTCAATGTGGCACAGTATCTTGGTATGATGAGCACTGGTTACGTGTGGATTGCCACCAATTGGCTTTCAACTATCATAGATACAGACTCTCCTCTTCCCTTGGACACGATAAATAACATTCAAGGGGTCATTACACTGCGGATATACACTCCTGACTCTGTCATGAAGAAGAACTTCACTCAAAGGTGGCATAATTTAACTCATGTTGGACTGAGCACTTATGGACTTTATGCTTATGACACTGTCTGGCTGCTTGCTCATGCCATTGATGATTTTTTCCGCAAAGGTGGAAACGTTTCCTTTTCAAAGAATCCGATTATATCTGATCTTAGGGGTGGAAACTTGCATCTTGATGCTCTGAAAGTATTTGATGGAGGAAATACGTTTCTTGAGAGCATCTTACAGGTTGATAGAATTGGCTTAACTGGTAGGATGAAGTTTACTAGGGACAGGAACCTTGTAAATCCAGCGTTTGATGTGCTTAATGTCATTGGGACTGGTTACAGGACCATTGGTTACTGGTACAATCATCTAGGCCTGTCTGTGATGCAGCCTGACGAGTTGGAGAACACATCTTTATCGAGACAGAAGCTTCATAGTGTTGTCTGGCCAGGACAGACAACACAAAATCCTCGTGGATGGGTGTTCTCAAACAATGGAAGGCATTTGAGGATTGGAGTACCAAATCGTTACAGATTCGAAGAGGTGGTCTCAGTTCAAAGCAACGGGATCATCACTGGCTTTTGTGTTGATGTCTTTGTTGCCGCTCTCAGCTTATTGCCTTATGCAGTACCGTTTGAGCTTGTAGCTTTTGGTAATGGTCATGATAATCCAAGTAACTCTGAGCTAGTCCGCTTGATAACAGCTGGGGTGAGTAGATAAGTTCTCTGTTTGAACCTGTTATGATGATGGCTTTTTATGATGACATGTATTGGGGCTAAAGCATCTTTTACACAGGTCTACGATGCAGGTGTTGGTGATATCACCATTATAACAGAGAGAACCAAAATGGCAGATTTTACTCAGCCGTATGTGGAGTCAGGGTTAGTGGTTGTGGCTCCTATCCGGAAGTTGGGTTCTAATGCTATGGCGTTCTTGAGGCCGTTCACTCCCCAAATGTGGCTTATTTCAGCTTTCTCTTTCCTCATAGTCGGTGCAGTCATTTGGTTTCTGGAACACAAACACAACGACGAGTTTCGAGGCCCTCCTCGTAGACAAGTCATCACTACTTTCTGGTGAAAACAGAATAAGCTCAAACTGGATGGACTCAAATCAAAACACATGCACTATACAAAGTTTTTCAGGTCTTTTCTCTGAAATATTTAGTTTGTTTTGCAGGTTCAGCTTTTCAACACTTTTCTTCTCCCATAGTAAGTGTACCACTTCCTCTTGTGCCTAAGATGTTTTACATATTTGAAATTGGCATAAGGTGTTCAGTCTTTTCTGCTGAATTTATACAGGAGAGACGACCATCAGCAACCTTGGACGAATAGTGTTGCTAATATGGCTATTCGTAGTTCTCATAGTCAACTCAAGCTATACTGCAAGCCTCACATCAATCCTCACAGTTCATCAACTGTCTTCGCCAATCAAAGGCATAGAAACTTTGGAAACAAACAATGATCCTATTGGGTATCCACAAGGCTCTTTTGTCAGAGACTATTTGGTTAACGAGCTCAGAATCCATGAGTCAAGACTGGTCCCTCTTCGGTCTCCAGAGGAATATGAGAAGGCCTTGAGAGATGGTCCAGGAAAAGGTGGCGTTGCTGCTGTTGTTGATGAACGTGCTTACATAGAGCTTTTCCTTTCAAACCGATGTGAGTTTGGCATAGTTGGCCAAGAGTTCACAAAAAACGGATGGGGATTTGTGAGTATCCTTCTGAGTCTTCTGAGTATCCTTTCAAATGTTTAGAAACTGATAACGTTTTTCTCTCCCATTATTCAGGCTTTCCCACGTAACTCACCTTTGGCAGTTGATGTTTCAACGGCGATTCTGCAGCTATCAGAAAATGGAGATTTGCAGAGAATACGAGACAAATGGTTGCTACGGAAAGCTTGCTCCTTGCAAGGCGCAGAGATAGAAGTGGATAGGCTTGAGCTAAAGAGCTTTTGGGGATTGTTTGTGGTGTGTGGACTGGCATGCGTTCTTGCTCTTGCAGTGTATACAGTATTGATGATACGTCAGTTCAGACATCATTCTCCTGATCATCAAGAACCAGAGGGCTCCATAAGGAGAAGAAGCTCACCATCTGCACGTATCCACTCTTTTCTCTCCTTTGTCAAAGAGAAAGAAGAAGACATTAAGGCTCGGTCCTCTAGAGAAAGGCAGCTTGAAGATAACTAAATAAATGGTGGTGCAACTAAAGTATTTCAAGACCACATAATGGCTCTAGTATGTACTTTCCCCTTTTGTTGCTACATTTGAGATCAAACTCTGTTTTGTATTTGTATTTAATCGCATGGTGGCTTTGATTAATAAAAACTCTGCTTCTCATCTTATGGTTACAAAAGGAAAGATCTCACAATTAGCAGTTACAGTTGCAGGAATCTAAGAAAACCTCTATGTAGCCTAGGGAAGCATTATAAAATCCCAAGCTAGTGGTATGTATTTGTTATTATTAACGTGTTCAACATACAGCAGGAAAGTTGAAAAGCGCAACAGAAAAAGAAAAGAAAAAGTCAGCCATCAGAGAGAAATGAAGCTGCAAGGTCTTGCTGTTTTGCACCGACAGAGAAGAACTCAGAGATAACTTCAAGAGGCATTCCCTTTGTCTCTGGTACCTTAAGGTACACGAAAACCCACGCAACAGCACAAACAAATGCATAAATGCCAAAGACTCCCGCAAGGCCAAGGGATTTCAGCATGACGGGGAGAGTGTAAGTGACGATTATGTCACAGATCCAGAAAGTGAGAGCACAGATGGTGATGCAGAGACCACGCACAGATGTAGGGAAAATCTCTGAGCAGAGAATGTTTGGGATTGCTCCAAAACCCATTACAAAACAGCTTAGATACACCATAACGCTAATTGTAGACATCAATGCGTTTGTTGTGCCTCCAAGCTTCACCAAGCTTCCTATCACCAGCGTTAGTAGTGATAGTATTAGAATGGGGATCGTGGAAAGCATCAGAGACCTGTAATCACGTTTTCATACTGTTAAAACATTTTTTACATTAAACTGAAAACAAAAACAAAAAGAGAAACAAAAGAAGAGAGAACTCGCCTTCTTCCAGTTACATCAATTAACCTCATGGAAACAATAATGCAAGGAAGCATCAAGAATGTGGTTAAAGCGCTTATGAGAAGCGATGAAGACTCTGCGCTTATTCCAAGGTTTTTCAAAAGACCAGACACTCCTGTTTCTTCCAATATTTGAGGTGTATAATACATCACTCCATTTATTCCTGCAAACTGCAAACATTCAAGATTTCCTTTTATTGTTGTTTTTTTACATTTTTAGAGACAAAATAAAATAAAGTATTTTACCTGTTGCAGTATCTGAAGCCCAACGCCAACCATCAACGCTCTCTTCACACCTGGTTCCCACAGCTCTCTCCAGCCTGGACCTGCAGCCTTAACCTCCTTTGGAAACATTGCAGTCTCTCCTTTAACTCCAGGGATCATCGAAGCTTGGCTCACCAATGCAGCAGCCTGAATATAACCATTCTCCTGATCATGAACATCAGCTTCTGTGTTGAAGGAGAGAAGCGATCCACGTCTTGAAATACCAATGTTGTTATTGTTTTTGTTGTGGGCGTTCTCCTCGTGAATATACATTCTCTGCAATCCTCCATTGACCTTTTTACCATCTGCACCAACCTTGTCGTTATACTTCCAAGCCAACTGCCATCCACCACCTATGCTTGTAGCTGTTGCCGTCTCCCCCACGTTTGCCATAAACAGGCTGCTTTGTCGCCTGTGCATGGTCCCTACGGTCCGCTGGTTGCATTCATCTGGCTCAGTGGTCTGCGGAGAAAGAAGAGGACTGTTCAAGCTTTCATCTTGGTCAGAGCTGTCTTCATTGTTCCTCTCTGGATCCCACTGAGAATCTTGCCTTCCCATCATTCCCAATATACTTCCCATATTGGGGAAGATCATGCTACGTGATGATACGTTCATGTTCTCTGAAGGAAGTTTCTCATGAATGCTACCAAAGAGAGTGACAACTGGATCAACGAGGGATCCTCCACGCTGTAACATGCTTCCATGTCGAGACGCTAATGCCAGAGAACTCTGTCCTTTCACTGGCTTAGCCATCCATGACTGTCCATCCTCTGGACCGTATAGTTTTATCTGATCTTTCCTCGGTAGTTCATGTCCGTTCTCGCTTTCTTCATTGTCAGGTCCAATCACATATTCTTCAATTGACGTGTCTTTTCCCACCCCAAGCCCTTCAACTAGTAGAGCAAGCTCGCCTAAGATCACACATTGAGTTAGTCTAAGTTCAAATAATCTAGAAGGTCTTAATGGTTCATCAAAGACAAACCTGAAACATCTTCTCTTCCACGGAGTCTCTGTAGAACCTGCCTAGCTTCATCCATGCGGCCTTTGCTGACAAGCCACCTTGGAGATTCAGGCAAGAAGAAAGCCGCGAGTACAAAGTAGATAATGGAAGGGATGGACAAAACCCCGAGCATTAGCCTCCAGCTCGGAGATTCTTGAAGAGACATTGCAAACACAAGACAATAAGATAGAAACATCCCACCGGATCCACAGAACTGAGGGAAAGTGTTGAGTAATCCTCTGATTTCAGAAGGTGCGGTCTCAGAGATGTAGATTGGGACGAGAGTGACAGCTAGACCGATCCCAAACCCATCAAGAAGCCTTGCGAAAAGGAGAACGTATACATTGGGAGACCAAAACATGACGATGCTACTGAGGAAATAGAGAAGAGAAGAGAGTACAAGCATCGAACGCCTTCCTACTCTGTCAGAGACTGGACCAGAGAAAGTTGTGATCAAAGTGGCTCCGATGAGAGACATTGCTACAATAAGCCCTTCTATCTTTGGTTCTTTCTCCAAATGAAACTCTTTCTTGATATAAATCACAGCTCCTGCCACCAAGATAGATACACCATCAATCATTGTTTCGTATATTTCTATGTAAAGAAAGAAAGAAAGAAAAGATAGAGAAAGAAAGAGAGGTACCTGCAATGGTGGCATTGTCCCAGCCCTGCAACATATTACCTATCGCAGCGGCCAAAGCAACAAGCACTACGCTCTGCATCTTTCTTAGCGATTTTTTACCTCCCAAAACGGTCAAGAATCGATTTGACAAAACATCATATGTGTCTTCTTCTTTCCAAAAAGAATACCGTAATGTCCTAAAATCATTTCTTATCACTAACCTGAGAAAGAAAAAGAGAGAAAACAAAAGTTGTTAATCTGATGGTTATTAATTACAGTTGTAGAAGATGATTATTTGTGTGTTTGTTTCCTCACAAATAGAAAAACAAGTATTCAAGTGATTAATCAGAAGCATGCAGCATGTGATTAAGTGGTAATTAATTAACGGTAAGAGAGAGAGATAGGAAAGTTAGTTTGGTCAAGAGGAGAAAAAAAAGGGGAAGGTGACAACAAACTCTTAGCTCTCTCCTTTGATCGCTTCTTCTGTGCGCGAAATTTTACATCTCACAACCTTTATGAGAAGTTCTCCTTGTCTCATGGCAATGCCCCCACTCTTTCATAACCCATCTCCACAATTGTTTTCTAAATATAGATCAATTCTCTTTACCACCTAACAACGCAGTAAATATATCTATTTATGCTGTGATTCCATTTCTAATTACAAATGAAAAAAAAAAAAACGATCTAGACCATAGTAGTGGATACAGTTGATCATTTGAAACAAAGTTGCTACTTGATAGAAAAAAAAAATAAGAAGAGAATATTGATATATTTCCACTAGAATTGTCACATCGTTTACAACTCACAAACGCATATTACAAATACCGATAACTAAACATATATATAGTCGTCAAAAAAAAAAAAACATATATACTGCGTGACAAAGACTTCTTCTTGATCGAGCACTATTGAATCACAAATGAAAAATAGAACACGGATTCGAGTTAAGCAACGCTCGTAGTTTTATACTTGAACCAGAACTTACCCGACTAACAGACTTATTGCCTAATGACAGTTTCACCCCCGGAGCGTAAGACACGTGAGCTAGAAAAATGGGCCAATTAGCCGGAAGGCCCATTTAAACTCTTCTCCAATGTTTTTAATTTCGAACCGGACGTTAAACCGGCTCAATTATTGGGTCAGGTGGTTCATTGGTTGGACTATGGTTTTAGCGGAATTTACGGTATGTAATCGAAGACGGTTCTAAAGAAAAATCATAAAACCCAAACCGACTCAATCATCTTCCCGCACCTGCAACTTCATAATTTGCTTTCCCAATTAGTTTTTCCGTCGTGTGAAGAAACCCTAGACGCCGATATCAGGTAAATTCTACTCAATGAATCTAAAGTGAGATCTTGATTTACACACAATTTTTTATTTATACTCTGCTTTTGAGTGAAGATTTGTTGTTATCTTTGATCGACATCGTTGAATTCGTCTATGGCTTCTCTGGGAATTTTTGTTTTTGGCTTTCAATCTTGTATGGAAAAGCCTTAAGATTTCTTATCTTTTGATCTTAGCAAAGATGCAAAATTCGAGGATTCCACCGTTTTCTGAAGCAAAGAAAAAGAAGATTCCTACTCCAAAACAACAATTACCACCACGAATCGGGAAGAAGGCTTCAACGAGGAGCAAACAAGACAAGCTTTATGCAGTTTCTCATCAACCTGAGATGTGTAATTCAGATTCATCTTCCGGAAACGAGTACAGAGCATTGAGGCGCAAGTATTTGCTGCTGGAGGAAGACAGCTTCGAGTTGGAGAGAGAACTAAAGGAAGCCGAAGATGATATTAAGGCACTTGAAGATGAGAAACTTGAGCTCTTGGACAAACTCGTTGTAATGGAAGGTTTAGTTGATCCTTGATTGATTCTAGAGCCTAGCATTTGCCTTGTCTGTGACCTGACCATTATTATGTACAAACACCAAAACTTTAAAATAGTAACATGTTTCCGGCTACATAAACTTATGTGCTACTTTTGTCAATCTCACTTCTTGTGTCTAAAGAACCCTTTTTTAGAAGCACCACGTGTCCTTCATCCACATTGTGATGCTAGATAGATAAAATAGATTTTCAAGAACTGCAATGTGTGGCTGAAAATCGTTTCACCGCTTCAGAATTTGTTTTAGACCAAACTTGAGTGGCTTTCTTCTTCTTAACTGTAATAAATGGCCGCGTCTCTAGCGTCCCTTCCGACCAATTCTTGTCTGAGCCATGGTGATGAGTGTTGCAACCGTTCTCCCACCAATTCAGTATTTTCAGGCCATTCTCTGACCGTGAAGAGGAACCGAATGGTTCAATCGCTGCACTATGAACGTAGTACAGTGAGGAGATTGGTCGTGACGGCTGCGACGGAAGGATCCAGAAAGTCCAAAGAAAGTCAACCTTCTTGGGCGAATCCTGACTCTGATGAGCCACCTCCTTGGGCTAGAGACGAAGGTCGTTCTTCTACGTCACAAGAAAGCGTTGAGATTCCCTTCTATGTTTATCTGCTAGCCTCGGCAATTACTGCCATTGCTGCTGTATGTTTCTTTGATCTCTCCCTCGCCTTTGTCTTCTAATTACCGGCTCATATCAAAGATCTTAACTTTATGTATCGTTTGGTCACTGTAGATTGGTTCTGTTTTTGAGTACTCGAGCAAGAATCCAGTGTTCGGGGTCTTGGACTCTGACAGTATCTTTTATACTCCTGTGCTTGGATTCTTTGCTTTAACTGGAATCCCCACTTCTGTGAGTTTCCTCTCTCTCTCTCTCTTTTCTTTATTTTCTGTGTTGTTTCATTAGCTGAACAAGTGGGTTTTGTCTGCAGGTATTCCTATGGTTCAAATCCGTTGAAGCTGCTAACAAGGAAGCTGCGGAACAAGATAAAAGAGATGGATTTCGTTAAAACTCTTGTGTTTTTTCCTCAACTCTTACAGTGATTGTTGTTTTCCTCCACATACTTTGAATATAATTCTGCATATTTAAGAAGCTTGCTTCTCTGTTCACTGTTTTATTACCTCCAAGTCTTTTTTTTTGTTATTCTAACAACATGTTATGTTCCAAGGAGTAATGGCTGCAGCAGCAAAACAGAACTAGTGTTTGAAGTTGCTGCAGTTTAAATTTCATCGCAAAATTCTCAAGTAAATGGATGCATCTTGGTTTCGACTACATGAGGCCAGTTTCATCCTCACAAGCAACCATAGAGTTCGATAAGCCATGGCCGATCATCTGACGGCTGGAATGTGTGTAGCTGATGGTAATATCACCATTTTTTCAATGCACTGCTTATACAAGATCCAACTTATTCTAGAAAGACATTGCTTGCTTTCATTTGTTCAACGAGTTGCTATACAAGACTCAACTTGTTCTGGAAAGACATTATTGGTAAGAGATGGAGTCCAAAAACCTATCATTTGAAGGATATTCTCTTGGTCCTTGAAATGTAGAGCAAAGAGAGCAATTGCTGTTAGACTGAGTATGCTTGAGCAAAGGCTATTTCTGAGAATTATCAGACACAAATCATGTGATCAATTGATTGTCTGGGAATGTGGTGTTTCCAGTTGAATGGATATAATATAAGTAAAGCTCTAGGCTCAATTCAGCGGAGAGAGGAAGCAAGAGTAAGATCCCTTTGGAAGATATCAAGTGGTTGTTAGAGCGTATTAAATGTCCGAGATGGCTTGACATTATTAAATGTGTTAAATGTATGAACCAAGATTACAAATTAAATAGCAAGAACATGGCCCAAAATGAACATGATGTTAGTACATCTTGAGATTTAAACTTTGAACTCTGAAAACGCCACTTGTTACATTACGGTTCTAATAAAAATGATTTTTTTTTTATTGTGGGCTCTATCTTAAAGATGGGTTGTTTGGGCTCTCCCAAGAAAGAAAGAGAGAGAGAGAGGACGAGATAGGTAGATCTCTCTAGGAGGATCTACGATTCACCATCGTCGTTGGTCTGTGAAGCGGACAAACCAAAGAATCTGCCCGGAGCTGGCGATATGGGCGGATTCAGAGAATTTGGAGCTGAGGAACTTTTCCCTTCAAACCTATTCCACTCCGTGACCGCCATATCCATCTGGCTTGGCGCCATTCACTTGAACGTCGCTCTTCTTCTCTTCTCCCTCATTTTCCTTCCCCCTTCTCTATCTCTCCTGTATGCACATACACAAACACACTCTCTCTCTCTTTCTTTCTTTTCTATAGGTCTCGAACTAAACTCTTTGAAATCCTCTGTTTTCAGGGTCTTGGGCTTGCTCTTTCTGCTTATCTTCATCCCAATTGACGATCGTAGCAAATACGGTCGTATGCTAGCTAGGTACTTCTTCTCTTTTCTTTTATCTGCTTCCATTTACAGTGGTTTATGTTCTCGAAATCATCTTCTTTTTGTTTCCAGGTACATATGTAAGCATGCGTGTAGTTATTTCCCCGTTACTCTTCATGTCGAGGATTACGAAGCTTTTCAGCCTAATCGGGCCTATGGTCTGTCACAATCTCCTTCTGACTCCAAAGTTTTAAGCTTTTTGAGATGGGTCTGTGATATCGTTGACTTAAATTAACATGCAATTTTCAGTTTTTGGTTATGAACCACATTCGGTGTGGCCGATTGGAGTTATTGCACTTGCTGATCTTACAGGATTTATGCCTCTTCCTAAAATCAAAGTTCTTGCAAGTACTGCTGTGAGTTTATTATGTTCTGTTTAATCTATTTGTGTATCCTTAACTTTGTCCATAAAACTCATTGTTTTGCAAACGTAAAATGATGGTAGGTTTTCTACACACCGTTTCTAAGGCACATATGGACATGGTTAGGGCTCGCTCCTGCTTCTAGGAAGAATTTCTCTTCCCTTTTGAAGTCTGGCTATAGTTGTATCCTCGTACCTGGTGGTGTGCAAGAAACATTTCACATGCAACACGATATTGAGGTGACTTTACTATCTTTCACTTGTGATTTGATAAAATCATATTGTTCTGAGGCATTTGGAATACTGAGAAAGCTTACAAGTTTGGAATACTTGATATAGCTATCTTATTTCTGTGATTGACTGTTTCTCTTTTCGCAGAACGTCTTCCTTTCATCGAGAAGAGGATTTGTGCGCATAGCCATGGAACACGGGACACCTCTGGTTCCAGTTTTCTGCTTTGGTCAGGTAGAGAAAAGAATTGCTCACAAAAATGTTGTGCTCTATGTAGTTGTCTTCACGTAACTGATACTCTCAAAACTTGATTTGATTGGTCAGATGCATGATTTAGATCTTGTACCGTTTCTGCTTTTCCAGTTTTTTTATCGATTCATCATGTCTTTTGTTTCTTCCGCAGTCACACGTGTACAAATGGTGGAAGCCAGACTGGAAACTCTACCTAAAATTATCGAGAGCCATCAGGTTTACCCCTATCTGCTTCTGGGGAGTTTTTGGGTAAGTGTGTTGGTTCTCTTAGGTACATTTGATTTTGCCTGTGAAAATCTTGAAAGAGGTAAAACTATTCGCATTTCGTTTTGTAGATCTCCCTTGCCGTATCGACAACCTATGCACGTGGTGGTTGGTAAACCAATAGAAGTTACAAAAACTCTGCAGCCAAGTAATGAAGAGGTTAGTCATCTTCTTCTAAATTGTTTTGTAGCTTCTTCTTAGAGTGGAGTCAGGACGGAATTGCGGCTCTGCTATTAGACGTTACTGTGTAGGATGCTTGGTAAATGTTTTAGCATTCATAGAGCTTTATGGTGTTTTTTGTGCATCTCAGATTGCTAAGTTACATGGCCAGTTTGTGGAAGCGCTTAAGGATCTGTTTGAGAAGCACAAGGCCCGAGTAGGCTATTCTGATCTTCAGTTGAACATTCTTTGAATGAAAGTCCTCCCAATGGAAAATATTGTCTATGTATGATGATCCTTCTTAATCATTTGTTTTATCTTGTAGCTGGCTTTGGATTTACCTGTCTATGTCTTTTAACATCGACTGTTGTAGTAGTGAAATACGTTAATAATAATAGCCTTCAAATTACATGTTATTCTGTAGTGTAAGATTGAGGTTTTTGGTGGGTGCGACTAATCTTCTTGGGCCATATTAAATGGGCTTATGATGCACATCACATATACACCTGACAATATACATACATACACAAAACATGCTCAATTTGATGTAATGAGATTTCAAATTTGCCGAGTAAAAAATCTATTGAAAAAAAACATTGTTATAAAGATATGTTCGTAAGTTCAAGACACAACATTATGTTACAGGCGAGCAATGCTTGTTGTTATGAAGATATGTTCGGTAATAACCTAATTTTTTTGAACCAAACATGTTAGTTAACCAATTTAGTGTCACTTTTGGATTATCTGACCAATTGACCATAAAACATGATTTGCTAGATCCGACGGTGATACAGTAAGGTAGGTTAAGATAACTAGTTTTCTCACATGCATCAGATCGTAACACACATGTCCGCACACACGTCAGAAGATAATCAGCTCCAGGTAATTTCTATTAGTTTCTCTCGTGTTCTACGAAGCTTTCAGATAGTTAAAATAAATACTAAAAAAGAAAACAAAAGATTAGTTAATGCAAGAAAACGACATGAAAACTAAAACCACACGGAATGGAAAATGCCTCTTGAAGGCTGACTCTCTTTAAAACTTGAAAACTGCCCCACCCACCCCCACCACCTTCTTTTTAGGATATCTCTTTCACTCTTTATTTGTCAACTCTAATATTTTAAATAAAAAAACATTTATCTTTCTCTCTGTTTTGTCTCTTTATCTGAATTCTGTTTCCTCTGTTGTCTGTCCTGTTTTTGTAAACCACCGTCGATGAGCGATCGGAGTCTGAAAAAGTCTCTCTCCGGAAAAAGCAACCGCCTCGTTGGAGATGCCGACGAGAATTTGGATCTCTTCTCAGTCAACCGTGGTGACCTGACTTCTTTTGATCGTATATCTTCCCTCCTTTGACTTGTGTTTTTATTTTGCTTTCTACAACAGACACAACTTTGAAATTGTTCCTCCCTTATGATTTTTTTTTCTTTCTTAAGTCTGGATCGCCGTTGCATTTTGCATTCAAAAGATCGCTTCTACGAAACAATTCGTTTTATAAAAAAAATCTGTTCGTCAGTTTCCATAATTTCTTCATTTTGCTTTGTGAAGTAGAGCCGTATTTATCCATGTTCATGTACGAGTTGTGTTCTTGCACAAGCTACCAAAAAAATTGGTGTAACGTAGAGTCCAAAATAAATAGAATTGTTAACATGTTTAAAATCTATGTTTCATATATTGAACAGAGCCTTAGGCTATTTTTAAAAAAACTTGTTTTTTTTATGCTAGTGTTGAGCCGGTCTTGTTGTGAAGTAACTCATTTACGTGAACTATATCTAGTAAATCGAGGAGGATAAGATACATATACTGTACACTGATTGATGATCCACCAAAATCAACAAAATTCGGCTTTTCTTTGTTGCTCAATCAAATAGTGTTGTTTCAATACTAATGTAATGTTCTATTTGGTCAGTAGTTTTGCTTAAACCAGGAAGACATTCTTTCGAACAAGCTAAAATTGCTAAGCCTGAGGCAGATGATGAAAAGAAACATGGCAATGACCCGTAAGTTATTTGATGTGATACACAATATATACTGTTCCTCAGATAGAGAATTATTGTGAACAAATTTACTCTATTATCTTTGTTGGTTAGGCTTTATACTATTCCTGAAGTTCCATTGGGAACTCTTTCTAGATTGGTTCTAGAAGCTAGAAACGTAACCTCCAAGCTTCAATCCATTTCTACGATAAAGACTGGTTCAAGGGTATGATGCAAAAAAAATTAAAATGGCCATTATTGCAAGTTTACCATATAACTAAAGAGCTTTTATATATGTATGATTCTTTGTCTTATTACACGCAGAGCGAGAGCGATCCATCTTCAAAACCAACTCGAAGCAATTCAACAATACGTCCCTCAAACATTCCAACATTTCGTCCCTCCAACATTGGCCCCACCTTTCCCACTGTCAGATCTTCTTCAGCCCCCCAGAAGACAACAACAGCTTCAGCTCCAGCTCCAGCTTCGGTTTCATTTCCAAAAAGATCTGTCTCTCGGTCATTAACTCCTGTATCACGCAAAACACCATCAAGATCTTCAACTCCTTCAAGAATCAGTACTACAACTACTTCAACAAATCCTTCCTTTAAAAAAGGTGGAGATGCTCAAAGATCAAGATCGTTGACTCCAAGGTCAAAGCCTCAGATTTCAGCAAACTCAGCTACACCTTCAAGTAGCACCAATGTGCGTTCTACGTCTGTGTCATCACGCCCATCAGTTTCAGCAACACCTCGAACACCGCCAAGAGTAAAAGAAACAACAGTCACTCTAGCGTTTGGTAGACCAGTGGTAACCACAAATTCGCCAAAACGGAACACCTCACCTGATGTTACAAGAACGAGGCCTAAAGGGCACTCTGCTTCTTCTTCACATACACCAGCAAGTCCCAAGTCTGTGAAGTCAACTGCAACTGTTGCGGATTCAACGAGGTCTGGAAGAAAACTGTCAAAAGCTTCAGTTCAAATTGCTAACAATCACTTGGTAACTTACTCTCGTCACAAAATGATAATTTCTTTATTTTATAACCGAGGAATCTTGAACCTTTGAAAAGCCGCATTTTTTCCATTTGAAACGTTCAGAGTAACTAATAGTGGTAATGTCTTAATGATGTTTTGCTTCACGGTGTCACTTTGATTGCAGGATGTGTCACGAAATGGGAAAGTGGGGACAAATCCGTTTTTGAGTACAATGTTGTACCCACACAGCATAAGATCTTCTTCTTTAAGAAACCGGTACTGTGGTAGTAGTGAAGGAAGCAGCAGCAGCAACAACCAGGAAGAGGAAGAAGGAAAAAGCTTAACGAAAGAAGGAGGCACGGAGAAGAACGATAGTGCGCGTTACGACGCACTCTTGAATGTAAAAGATGTGAAGGATACTAACTGGCTACTTAACCTTGATGATGAATCTAATCATTCTCTCATCTTCGACAATGCTTTCGACTCTCCTCCTGAGCCATTCTCTCCTCTTTGAGTCTTTTTTTTTTTCTATTTGTTTAGTTTTAAACTCTAAAACAAGAGTTGCTTAATAAATAATCCTAATTCACTCCTTTCTTTTATGCGATGAAAGAAGGGAAAAAAAAAGAGAGGATTGTTCTACTCGTTGGGGTCTTTGTGTTCTTGGAGTGTTTTCTTGTATTGATTGACAAAAATATACAGCTTTGAGCTTGTGTTCTTTTGCTCAACATATTTTTGCAAGAAAAGACTGTGGAATTACCGGTATTGCGAAATTCAAATTAATTGAAGTGTAAGCTCGGTTGTAGTTTACCTCGTATGATTAATATAACAATGTACAAATTACTTTCTTGTGTTTGCAGATTATTCATTTCAGCTATAAAAACTAGTCTCGTTTCGTAATTTGTGTAACAGTTTACGTTAAACACTCTGTTTGTTATGTTTTCTCATCGATATAAAAACCTATCTCCAATTTGACTTTCACAACAACGTTTTCGTCTTCCACAAGTATGTCCGGTTTCCTCACAAGGATTAGACTTGCAATGGTTAGTAACGGATGCATCCATTACAAAAGCGTTATATAACAAACCAAATAAGTCGTACATTTACGCGAATCATGTTTAATGTTTTGTAATAAAAAGAAAGAAAAAAAAATACATTATTTTTTACACTCTTCATCGTGGTAGTATCAAATACACAAATCCAAAATTCTAAATAAATAACAGCCAAGAGAATAATAAATAGTTAAGATAGAAAAAAAAAAAAAAAAAAAAAGAGAGAGAGAAAGAGAAACGAACCAGTCTCCTTTGCATGGAGCCGGTTTAGAAAGGTAGTAGCAGTGTACCGGGTTTTAAAACTCTCTAACGTCCCTTAGGATTCATGATCTGAGAAAACACAGCACTTGGAGTGAGCCCATCTGAATCTTCACTGACCATACTCCTGTCAAGTCCACTGCTCCTTGAGTCAGTCACGTTCCCTTCATACACATCACAACTCTTGTCGTCGTTGTTCTTCCCTTTACAGTCTCCACCATCGTACTTAATCTCATCCATGTCCATGTCACTGCATATTCCTTTCCCGCTCTCCTCTGCGCTTTCCTGAAGCTGCAACGCGAATTCCAAGTTCCACAGCACATCTCCCATCGACGGTCTCTCAATGCCCTGGTCTAGCACACACTTCATCGCTGTTTCAGCAAACTTCTTGAAGCATTCCGGTGTGATCTTGCCCTTGAGGTAAGGGTCCACTATCTGATCAAGCATGCCTTTCTTGTAGCAGTATGGTGCCCACTCAGCTAAGCTCACTTGTTCTTTTGCCAGTGTCGGGTTCAAGGCTGGCCGTGCGCATAGAGCTTCGAAGAGAACGACGCCAAAAGAGTAGACATCAGATTTCTCAGTGAGTTGCTGCCGTCTGAAATACTCCGGGTCAAGATAACCAAAGCTGCCTTTCACGACTGTGCTTACATGTGTGTGGTCTAGTGTTGGACCAGTCTTTGACAGACCGAAATCAGAGACCTTAGCCACCCATTTCTCATCCAACAGGATGTTCGTTGTCTTCACATCTCTGTGTATGATCGTGTGTTTCGCACCAGTGTGCAGATAATGCAAGCCCCGGGCTGCACCGATGCATATCTCAAGACGTTGCTTCCAGGGAAGAGGAGAGTTCTGAGTCTTGTAGAGATGCTCACGCATTGTCCCATGAGCCATGTAATCATACACTAGGATCATCTCGCAGTTCTCTTCACAGTATCCAATCAACGACACGAGATGACGGTGTCTAAGCTTTGAAAGCATTTCAATCTCAGTCTGGAACTCGTGTACACCTTGCTCAGACATCGGGTTACCTCTCTTGATGGCTACCTTTGTAGTTCCACCATCGATCTCTCCTCTGTAAACCTTCCCGAAACCTCCAACACCAAGCACACGGGACTCATCAAAGTTTTTAGTAGCGGCTTTGATCTCAGCAAAGGAGAAGTGACGGCATAGATTTGAGGGAAGTGACGAGGCGTAACTTCCTGTTGTGTTTGTCTTTCCCGAGCCAGCAGAATGTGAGTTTCCATACAGAGATAGTGGAAGCCACCCTGAGGTTGCATCACTTGCAGGCTGGTAATCACCACGTTTTCGTCTGCGGTAAGCAGCCACTACGCAGAAACCGAGGATAAGGGCCAAAACTACTGCACCACTGGCTGCGCCTGCAACAATAGCTGTATGGTTCTTGGATTGACCAGTACGCGGGCGCAAGACTTTGGAAGGATCTGCAGTCACTACTGGACCAGGTATAGGATTTGGACCAGCAAGATTACCATCAGAGGCATTCATCTTAAATATCTCAACTCCATTGAGAATAGCATCATAATACTGTGGCTTGTTACGTTGGTTTGGAGTAAGAGCAAGCCATAGATCTTGTTGTCCTTTGCCTTCTGGAGGATTCACCACGTAGTCTTTGTGAAACGCGATTCCGTTTCCTCCACCGGTCCAGGCAGCAACATCAGCTTCAGGCTCAGCTGTCTGATTGTTGAGGTAAATTATAAACGCACGTTGGTTGATCTTAGTGATGTTAGCAGAAACCTCACAGAAATGAAGCCTAACGAGGTAACTGAAGCCAGAGTCAACGCTGAAAATCCAAGTGAGATTGTAGTTGATGTTGATCTCAGCAGTTGGGCCCATGGACCTAGCGGTTGAATACACATCAACAGGAGCAACATACGTAGGCGTGCCTGTAGGATACTTAATGGTCATGTTGGGATCAGCAGTCTCAGGGATTCCAAGAGCTGCACCAAAGATATAAGGCTGATCATCATACCAAGATCTGTAGAGACCTGTATCAGCAGAAGGCGAGATATCATTGCCTCCAACATTCAGCCTATAAACATTCTCAAGCGCCGTACTGTTATCGATGGTGACAGAACCAGAGGAACCAACCACAAGCAATGAACCATCTGTGCTACTGTAAAGATCAGGCATTGAAGTAACCTCAATCCCGTTCACAAACGCGTAAGCATTTGGTGTTGACTCTGGTGTGAAGGTCATGTTCAATGCTCCACCTTCAACATTCACAATAAACTCCTTGACGATGAAGGCATACGTCAAGGCCTGCGCCGTCTGAGAAGCACTGAAGTTCTTAAGGAGAGTGTAGGAGCCGGAGGAGACGGAGAAGAGAGAGTTTGTGGCGTTGAGACCGTCGTATGAGTTTGGATAGAAGTAGAGACGCACGAACTTACGGCCTGCAGCGACGGGGAAAGTGTAAGTGAAGGGAGATCGGAAAATCCTCGCCGTCATGAAAGGGACTTCGGGGACGGAAGGATCTTGAGTCGCGGCCGGAGAGGTTTTAGAGTCTCCCGATGAAGACAAGAACTTGGACTTGACATCGGGAATCCATGTCCGGTTATCTGTGTCAGCGGAATCAGAGGAGCCACCACAGTTTAAGAGGATCTTGTCGGTGGGAGTGTAATCAGCAGCTGAGATTAGAGGAGATGCAGATAAGAGAAGAAGAAGAAAGGACACAAGAGAGACGCGGAATCGTCCCTCCGTGATCACCATCGATCAAGAGCAGCCTCGGATCTACCAAAAATCTTAAATCAAACTAGGAACTGCAAAGAAACAGAGCAAACAAGAAACTTCACAGATCTAAAAATGGAAAGAGCTAGAAAATTTCACAGAGGTACATGTTCATTTGACAACAGCGAAACTACAGTTGATTTCAGTAGTAGGAAAAGTGAAGCAGAGAAAGAAACATACCTTAAGAATCGGGGAAGAACCCTAGCCGATGAAATCGGAGAGTTTTCGAGAATTTGAGATATTTGGGGGAGAGAGAGAGAGAGAAAAGTTTGGGAAAACAAATAAATGATAACAACAGAGAATTAATTAAAGAGGAGAGATAGTGGAGGTAAGTATAGTTAAGACGACAAAACGGCCAGCATTGTTGCCTCCCTCAACGCGTAAACGTTAGTTTAATCAAAATGATAATTATCGCATTATTTTTATAAATTAACTTTAGAGGCAAATTGAAGCCGGCTTGAGGTAAGTGACGAAAACGCCCTTAGAATAACAGCTGTTATTACATGCCCAACCATCGAAGGATAATGTTTGATTGGGATGGGGATTGGTCTTGGATGACAGTTCATGTCTTTGTTTGTGTGTGTGTGTTTGTGTAATAAAAGAAAGAGAATTTGAGAAACGCGTATCTTTTCTGTGCGGTGACGACTGTGCTCGTGGCTGAGCTGGCGCTCTAATTATATAAAGCGAAAGAGTGGGTCCCGTTTTGATAGAGACATGGGCTTTTTTATTCTTTCGATTCTGTTGACCTTCTATGGGCCAAGTGAAAATGGGTCTTCTATACCGTGCAAACCAAATCTTCACAAGACTCCTTCACAAGCCCATGTTCCGTTTTGATAGAGACATGGGCTTTTTTATTCTTTCGATTCTGTTGACCTTAGATGCACAAGACAAGACTCCTTGATCAAAACAAAAAAGGCAAAAAAAAAAAAAAAAAAACATGCACAAGACTTTTGCCTCAAGGCCCCTCAATGGGTGAAAGGAATTGACTTACGACAACCCAACAGATCTATTTCAAATTCATTTTCAGCAACTGCAACGATTTCGTTATAGCGTCTATTGCCTATAGAGCCTAAAGTACTCATTTGGGGGCAGTGGCGGAGCCAAAAAATTTCTTCATTGGGGGCATCAATGGAACATACATGACTTTATGAATGAGGGTGTTAATAATTTGCTTTATAAATTGCACCATTTTTTAAAATTCACTAGGGGCATATGACCCCAACCTAATCTATGTGGCTCCGCCACTGTTTGGGGGTCTCTCATAACCGGATCGAGGATGCTTGGGGATATCAAGACTTGTGAAGCTGCCCTAAACCGACTCATCACGCTAGATCCCATAAATAGCAGGAGCCTATGTGCTTTTATCAAACGTCTGTGCCAAAACATGGACGTACGTGGATGGAAATTAAGCGGATTAGACACGAAATGGAGGCAATGGAAAAGGATTTCATACAATTATCCAAAAATATTTACATACAATTATCCAAAAATATACAAAAGAGAACCATGATAAAATCGGTCGCTCTAGTCGACAAACACAACAATCTATTATATAAAAGTTGGGTTGTATCTCACAATCTTGACACATCAGCATTTCTTTATGTGACACATCAGCTTTAACAAAAAAAAATCTGATATTTTAAATTTTAAATAATAATTAAGATATCTATGAGTCTTGGAACTCATTTCATGTCTTTACTACTGCCAAATTCCTCTTTGATTCATCAGTCAGAATTTCAATCGGATTTTAATGACAAAACTTAAAATCGAGTTTTGAAATTTCACTGGGATTATACGAGTTTGTAAGTGAAGGAAGTAACTGTGGTCATGGCTATGACTTCAAAAGGTGGTGATTGCTATTTTCAGATATTGGAGAAGATTTGAGAAAAAAAAAAGATATTGGAGAAGGAAGGTCGCACGAAAATTCAGTTAGGAGTTTATGAAGGATTAAATGGCTTGATATTATTGGTAGAAAGTGGGTTTGCGTATCTAAATAACCTGAAACATTTTAACGAATTGTGTTCTCTCTAAAATGAGAAATATAAAAAATGGTAAAGGCGAATGTTGATATCACTATGCATGTTTGTTGCCATTATGATGAATTAATGGTATGGTTTAACCTCATTCTTTTTTTATTGCTTGGGTTACAACTTACAAATGTTATGGGGGAGACGTAATAAAGACAACAAAGAGGAGGTTATAGAGAAAGCAGAGAAGGATTTAAGAGTGAGGGGACAAAAAATTTTCTCGGGAGAAAATATCAAAAGAGTAATTTTTTAAAACTGTGATGACCATAAATGATCGATAAATTTATTATGATCGGATGATTTTCCAGTCTGCATAATTTGTAATTGTTTTATCATCTTCTATTCCTCATGAGTGTTAATTGGAGGTTGTTCAGCCACTCTCATGGGAGACAAGACTTAGGAGTTAGGATCACAATATGATCACATTTTGTATTCATTATCTAAGTATTTTGTTATAACATAATTTAGGCAGTGTGTTATTAAACGATTTCATATTTAGACAGAAATAGAATGTAGTTCCCATAAGGCAATAATTCTTTCTACGCTCGATTCTTGGGGTGCAAAGTTTATGAAAGAACGATTGGTAAGACTAGATCCTTACGTAATTTTAGAAGTTATAGAAAAGTATTTGTACTTTCTTAAATGTGATATGGCGATGTGTAGCTTGCATGGATGTAAGTGTTTTTTTGTGTGTGCTAACTGTTAACATATAAAAAAAGTCAAAAAGTTTCTTGCAATTTAAGCTGATAATCTAAATTTTATGTGCATAATATAAAACTTCCAATTAAGTGATCATATAACTTAAGCTAGAAAACATTAATTATTTTCTTTTTAGTTTTTAATATGTGGTTGATTATAACCGAAACTAACTGGAAATTTAGAGTAAAAACTACAGAAAATTTAAAAATGTGTTTACATTATAATTAATAAAAATAAATACGAACAAATAATTTCAATATATATCAATTCATACATTTTATCAAATAACCGCTTCTATATCGAATTAAGTTGTATTTGTTAAGATGTTTTTCATACAAGTAAAATATTCTTAAAGTTTAAATAAAAAATCTTTCATATTATACAACACAAATTATAAATTTATAAAGTATACAAGCTTGTGTGTATACACGGATCTTCACCTAGTATTACATTAAAAAACCAGTACGTAGTTCTTTCAAAATAATATAAACTACATTTTATAAATAGTTTTATATTCTGCTTTTTTGTATTTGGGCACACATGAGTACAAGTCACATACACCATTTTATCTCTTAGTTTTCCTCACTCTAGGCAGATGCACAACTAACAAACCTCCCAGTGCTCCTAAATCGAAGCTTACGGAACACACTTGAAAGCTTCGGAGAAGGCTTATCTCTTAAACTCATATCCTTACTTGCACTTATTACACTCAGACTCGCCGCACCAGTTGCAGCTGTTATAACACAAACATCACATTCTGTCACCATGCAATTACCGCCTAGAACCTTGTTTCTCCCATTTACTGCTTGGAATTCAAATTCAACATGATCAGCCAGTATTCTAGATTCGTTTCCTTCGCCACCACTTTTATGCATTTCGGCATCCTCATAAAACACAAACATGTGATCCCTTTGTACCTCAGGAGCTTCTCTCGGAGCCCAACACCTAAAAACTTTCTCTACTTTACGAGATGCCCCTTTCTTAGCCTTCCATTTGCTTATGCACCTAACGCCAAGACCAGCGTTGTTGTGGCTATCATCCAAAAACGTAACTACAACGAAGATAGCAAAGCCCAAGAGTGTCTTTCGTAAGGCAGAAGTTAGCTCTAGCATTGCAAATGAACCTGTCCGCAAATTATAAGAGGATCTCTGATTTCCATCTGCAGGAGCGCAAATGCTAAATGCAAGCGCTTTGACGAGTTCCTGGTTCCAACAAGGCAAATCCCTAATCAGAGACATGCCAAAGTAAAGCATGAGTGAGAAAAAGTAAATGAGAAACGAGAGAGATACCTGCTCATGTTCTTTGCCAATGCTGGTTACTTTAGCCAGACCTTTTACTACTCGTTTTCTAGCCACTTCTGGAGACCTATTGAAGCAATTGTTCAAGGTGTAGTGACTAGGAAAGTTCTCAGACGCCCATGAAACTGACTGTAGGGATACACAACCATGTACGTTCAAGAGCTTCAGGCTTTGGGGAAGCTCTGGAAGCGATATGAGGTTTCTACAGTGTCGTAATCTAAGGCTATGCAGTTTAGATAACGGCTTTATGCTTTCAGGGATTTTCTTGAAACCATTCCGACCAAGATCCATTACCGTTACTGAAGGCAAGGAACAAATCTCTTCAGGTATATGCATCAAGGAAGCATTGCAGAGGGACAAAGATACTAAGGCATAAAATCTTGGGACCAAGCCATGTAAACTTGAAGATAGCAGCCTTGGCTGGGGGAAATAATCTCGACGCTGATCTGCATTCTCATTAAAAGCCAAGAGAAGATGCTTCAAATCACCCATGCCGATTTCTGATGTGGACATCCTCCCAGATGAATCCGATAACTTAAGTGTGACAAGAGATTTTAAGTTACTAATTTCCACCGGAAGATGTTGAAGCCTTTTGCAATTCTGCAAATCTAATATGACAAGTTCTGAGAGATACTTGATTGATGATGGCACTTCTTGTATAGCGGTCCCAGCAAGGTATAACTCTTCCAAGTTTCTTGGGATACCTTGAATATCTTCAAGCTCTGAGCATCCAGAGAGATTAAGAACCACAAGAGAATTCAAGTTACTCATTCCCATAGGTAGCTTTTGAAGCTGTTTGCAGTTTTCTAAATCTAATACAGAAAGTTCAGAGAGATCCACGAGCGAAGGCAGTTCTTGTATGGCGGTGCCACCAAGGTATAACTTTCTGAGAGCTTTAGGAATAACCTGAATATACTCTAGCTCTAAGCAATGAGACAGATCAAGAACTTTGAGGTATTCCAAATAAACCATGATTGACAGACTTTTCGAATCAGACGAGTCTTCTAGATTCAAGAGCTTGTCACCTCCATGATCATAGGTGAATGAGTTATCTTGTGAAGAGAGGGTCACAGTTGGTATTGATTTTATCCCAGTTTGTTTGAGATACAACTCCTCAATCTTAGGTGGAACCTCTGGGAAAATTTTGATCTTTCTGCAACCAGATAGATTTATCACCCGAAGATGGTGGAAATGACCCGTGTCTAGAAATCTTTGTAGTCTTCTACAACCTTGGAGCTCAATTACCTCAATATTTCGAGCATTTTGAAGTTCTTGAATATCAACTAGTTGTTGTGAATGGCAAAGCTTGATCCTCTTCAGCATCCCAAGTTCCTAGAAAAAAACAAAATGTTAAGAAAATAACAATCGAGCCGCTATATGTGAATTGCATATCAGATCTTTCTTACCTTATTTCATTCCCAAAGTTTCTGAAGTTTACAAGAACACATGTTGAGTACAACAAGATTCCTAGTGTCAAAACCTTGTGGTAAGGATAACAATGGAAAATTTTCCCAGTGCAACAACCTTAACTCATCTGGTAGACATTCAAGTCCCTTGGGAAAGTTTAGAGCAGGATAGTTTCCAGGTTTGGAACTGCAAATCTTCAGATATTTAAGATTGTACATTTTCTCAAATGCCATAGGGTTGAGATCAATGCTTAAGACAGATGGGTCCAGAAATATGGCTTCGATTTCTTCACTGTACTGAAACAACAAGGGGAATAAATCAAGAAGTTGGCTCACATTCAAATAATAAAGTCTTGTGAGCAAATAACATAATATAACATACCAAAACTTGTTCATCTTCTAGAAAACACTTAATCCTCAAAGGTTCCCACAGTCTGGATTTGGAACGCCTCTTATCTCCATTGATAATCTTGCGACCTATGTTTTGGATCAGATTATGCATTACCACCCTGCCTTTTGAGATACTCACCAAACATTTCTCAACAAGAACACTGATTTCAACACGTGGAAAAAAACCAAACTCTTGAAGCAGATGCATCACGCAGTCGACATTTTCTCCTCTGAAAAGACACGCAATATCAAGAAATATGTTCTTCTCGTTGGAACAGAGTGAATCATATGTGCTCTTGACTGCATCATGAATCTCATCTGGAGGAGATTGCTCGAGTGTGACGACTGCGTTCTCTGTTTCTTTTGGATTCTTCCTCGTCTTTCTTCCAAAAAACTTTAGAGCTAGAGGATTTCCATCTGCATAGTCAAGCACCATCATTGATAGTTTCTGCAGACTCTCATCGTTTCCAGATGCACACCGCGAAAATAGCTGCAGAGCCTCTTCCTCATTTAAACCTGGAACCTCATATATTTGATGGACCCGGCAAAGTGAAAAAACTTGCTTATCTCTTGAAGTGATGACAATCAAGCTTCCCGGACTAAACCAATCAAACCCTCCAAGAAACAACTCTGCATCTAAAGGCTTGCGCACATCATCAAGAATGACAAGAAGTCTTTTGTGGCGTAAAACGTTTCTAAGGAGGATCGGTCTTTTAACTAAACCATTTACGCCAAGCTCTTCCCTAAGAATTTTCCCAAAGTGTTGCTCTAACAGACGGTAAAGCCCATTGTCATGAAACTCCTTGTTAAAATCTTTGACGAAGCAAGCAGCCTCGTAGTCACCAGACATTTCTTCAAAGATAGCTTTAGCAAGTGTTGTCTTGCCTATTCCAGGCATACCCCATAGTCCTATGCTTCGAACACCACCCCATGGTTGCTTACAGAGCAAGTTTTCTATCATCAGCAACTTTGAGTAGATTCCAATGTTTTTTGTGATTTTGAGCTTTTCACGCACATGAGCGACAATCTCTTGTACAAATTCGGAGTCACTGCATATTTTTTTTTGTAGAAAATTAGTAAATATTCAAGTCTAGAATGTCTTTGTGTTTTTAATCCTTAAAACATTTAATAAGAGTGGATTATAGAGTTTAATACAAATCAACAAACTATACCTTTGCTTATCGTATAATTGGTGGCCTGGTAACTCTGCAGTTTCCAATAGAGCGCTTTGCCATTCGCTTCTAACATGGCCCAAATTCCAGATTTGTTTCTTCACAAACAATTTCGTGACCGGGAAAAACACCGGAACCACCGCGAGACCGTTGTTTCGCCGGCGTTCGGAAACATTGACTAGCTCCTCTAGGCATGGCTTTGATGACGAGTATTTTCCGGAGAAAACCACTACACAAGCCCTCGATTTCTCCATGGCTACCCTGGCGAATCCATTGCTTTCCGGATCGGAGCCGCCGACGAACGAGGATATTCCTTTGCGGTGGAAAGCGGCGGCGAGGTGGCTGATGAAGGAGTACCGCACCGTATCTTCCCATCTATCGAAGCTGATGTAAACATCGCTGCTCTCCACCATGATCAGTCGCGTTTTACGGTAATTTCTCGTTTCTCTTCGGCACTAGATTCGGGGGGATTTTGGTCGGGGATTCTTCATTTAGACTCTAATTTAGTGAATTCGTGAGTCGATTAGAGTCTAGACCGAGTCGTTCTCAAAACATTTCTTGGAATTGTGTATTCTGAACGAATTCTCCAATGGAAGAAGAAGTCATAGCCAACTAAGAAAATATCTTTGCATATCATCACAATTTGATTATTGGTCCTCTTCACCTTATTCAATGGAGGAAGAAGAAGTCATAGCCAACTAAGAAATTGATATTTTAAACTCCTCGCTTATCTTCTGTAGAACTGGTCCAAGATTTGGAGAGAAAAATAAAAAGAGGATCTTTTATTGAGATGTTTGGAAATTGGAATTATGTCCTGTATCTCCAGAGGAAACCCAATCACAATTTGTCTCCTATCAAACTCAGATGGAGGAGGTCTCTTCCTCTTCCAAAAGCAAACCATTTCATTTGCCTCCGCAGCACCTAGTGTTTGTAAACTTCAGAGGAAAGGAGTTGAGGAACAACTTCGTTAGCCATCTCAGAAATGCATTGCAAAGGCACGGGGTCAATATCTTCATAGACACGAATGAACAAAAAGGCAAACCTTTAAATGTGCTTTTCCAGAGGATTGAAGAGTCGAGGATTGCCTTGGCCATCTTTTCCGTGAAGTACACCGAGTCAAAATGGTGCTTGAACGAGCTGGTGAAGATGAAGGAATGCATGGACAAGGGTAAACTCCTCATCATTCCCATCTTCTACAAGGTTAAAGCATACCATGTTCGGTTTCAGAGGGGACGGTTTGGGTATGTGTTCAAAAATTTGCGCAATGTTGATGATGACAAGAAGAACCAATGGTCTGAAGCTTTAAGCTCTGTTGCTGACCGGATCGGCTTCTGCTTCGAGGGAATGAGGTACCATTTCTTCAGTTTCCTCTAAATTCATTTATCGAGAGGCATGGTTTGAGATTCTATTCATAGTTTGACCTTCAATAATCCAAAGGATCGAATAACAAGAAAATAATCCTAAGTATCTGCGTGGTTTTTTTTTCTTACCCTTTTACAGCGATGAGAACGATTTCATTAACTGTATAGTCGAAGAGGTTAAACAAGCGCTGAGCAAAATTCCCTTGGATGGAACCAATGAAAATTTTGTTCATCTATCGAAAAACACTTCAATGCGCTTAGGAAAAGACAACCATGAGATTTATGGACTCAGGCAACGCTTGGAAGAATTGGAGGAGAAGTTGGATCTTGGTTGTCAGGAGACTCGAATTTTGGGAGTTGTTGGGATGCCCGGCATCGGTAAAACCACTCTTGCAAGGGAGTTATATGAAACTTGGCAGTGCAAGTTCGTAAGTCACGGATTAATCCAAGATATTCGTAGAACATCGAAGGAGCTTGGGTTGGATTGCTTGCCTGCATTACTCTTGGAAGAGTTACTCGGTGTAAAAATTCCAGACATAGAATCTACTCAACGCGTGTACGAATCTTACAGGAGTAAACTACTCAGACATAAAGTTCTCGTTGTTCTTGACGATGTGAGTGACAAAAAGCAAATAGAGGTTCTTCTGGGGAGATGCGACTGGATTAGGCAGGGAAGTAGGATTGTCATCGCAACAAACGACAAATCACTTATCCAAGATGTGGTTGACTATACTTATGTTGTCCCACAATTGAACCACAGAGACGGCTTAGGTCATTTTGGGCGTTATGCCTTTGATCATCATTCCAACAAACTAAACAAAAAAGTCATCATGAAGCTATCAAAAGAGTTTGTGCATTATGTTAGAGGTCATCCACTAGCTCTTAAGTTGTTGGGTGAAGATCTTAATGGGAAAGACGAAGACCATTGGAGAACAAAATTGGCTGCACTCGAACAAAATTGCTGGCAGTGTATGCGAGATGTGTTGGATGTAAGTTATGATGAGCTGAGTCAAGTGCATAAAGATATATTTCTCGACATGGCTTGTTTTAGAATGGAAGATGAGAGTTACGTTGCAAGTTTACTAGATACATCTGAAGCTGCAAGTGAAATAAAAACTCTCATGAACAAATTCATGATTGATGTTTCTGATGGGCGAGTAGAGATGCATGACTTACTATATACCTTCGCCAAGGAACTTTGCCGAAGAGGATATGCTCAAGATGGAACGGAGGGACATAGGTTGTGGCACCATCAAGACATAACTGATGTGCTAAAGAACATAGAGGTGAACTTACAGACAAACTTTTGTTTATACATTTCATTTGATAAATTTCCTTAAGACTACTTTCTATCATGAATAACAAGATTTGACGACCGTGACTTGTTAACCAGGAAGGTGCAGAAGTCAGAGGGATTTTCCTAAACATGAATGAAATGAAGAGGGAGATGAGCTTAGACAGTCGCACCTTCGAACCAATGCGCAATCTCCGATACCTCAAGATCTATAGCTCACATTGTCCTCAGCAATGTAAACCTAACAATAAGATAAACCTACCGGATGGACTAAACTTTCCTCTGAAAGAGATTCGATATCTACACTGGGTGGAGTTCCCATTGAAGGAAATTCCACCAGATTTCAACCCTCATAATCTTGTAGACCTTAAGCTTCCTTACAGCAAGATTGAACGAATCTGGAGTGGTGATAAGGTGTGTGTCTCTCTGTTATCGTTTGACTATGTGACTTAAATTAACATGGATAGGATCTTTACTGGTGGCTAAATATTGTGCGGTCACAGGATACATCAAAATTAAAGTGGGTCAATCTCAACTATTCTAGTAACTTGCGCGTCTTATCAGGGTTATCAAAGGCTCAAAATCTGCAAAGACTGAACCTTGAAGGCTGCATAGCAATGGAAACTTTACCCCATGATATGGAATATATGAGAAGTCTTCTTTTCCTGAATCTGAAAGGGTGCATAAGTCTCAACTGTCTTCCGGAAATAAATTTGGTCTCTCTTGAAACTCTTATCCTCAGCAACTGCTCAGGCCTTAAGGAATTTCGGGTGATCTCAAAAAATCTAGAAGCTCTATACTTGGATGGCACTTCAATAAAAGAACTTCCATTGAATATCAACATTCTCCAGCGACTTGCCTTATTGAATATGAAAGGATGCACGAAGCTGAAGGAGTTTCCGGATTGTCTTGATGACTTGAAAGCTCTTAAAGAATTGATACTCTCAGATTGTTCGAAGTTCCAAAGTATCTCGGCAACCGGCGAAGGCATCAAGGTCTTAGAGATATTACGACTGGATGCGACAGCCATAACAGAGATTCCAAAGATATCCTCGTTACAATGTTTATGCTTAAACAAGAACGACCAGATCAGCTCCCTTCCAGAAAACATCAGCCAATTTTCTCAACTAAAATGGTTGGACTTGAAGTATTGTAAGAGTCTTTCATCTATTCCAAAGCTGCCACCAAATCTTCAACACTTAGATGCACACGGTTGTTGCTCACTCAAAACAGTCTCGAATCCACTGGCATGTCTTATGACAACTCAACAGATATATTCCACATTCAATTTCACGAACTGCAACAAACTCGAAAGGAGTGCGAAGAAAGATATATCTTCCTTTGCTCAAAGGAAATGCCAGCTGCTTTCAGATGCACATAATTGCTGCGATGTGGTTTCCATGATATTTTTCATTATATGTTCCTCTATTTCTCAAACATTCGCATTTTATTAATTTCCATATCTTTGCAGGGTTCTGATTTGGAGGCCTTGTTCAGTACTTGCTTTCCTGGAAGTGAACTACCTACATGGTTCTGTCATAAAGCCATTGGATCTGTGTTAGAGCTCAGAATGCCCCCACAATGGCACGAAAATAGGCTTGCCGGTCTAGCTTTATGTGCTGTTGTCTCATTTCCAGACTCTCAGGAACAAATCCGCTGCTTCTCGGTGAAATGCACACTCAAACTAAAAGTAAAAGAAGGGTCCTGGATTGAATTTGTTTTCCCAGTCGGAAGTTGGGGTAATCAGGGCAATATAGTAGAGAATATTGCATCAGAGCATGTCTTTATTGCGTATAACAGCTGTTCAAAGATCTTTAAACGTCTTGAGAACCAGGACTTAGGCTGCTCTATTCCTACAAAATCCACGCAACCTAACATATGCAGTCCTACTATGGCCTCCCTTAATTTTACTATTGTAGATGATACATGTGAGATACCAAGACTCGAAGTGCTCAAGTGTGGCTTAAGGTAGTAACATAGTATATTGATTGAAACTATTTAAACCCGATTTTTCTGATTTTTAGAGCTCCTCCTATATTTAGAGCTGTCTTATGGGAATTGAAAATCCATTTTTGTCCTGTTGCAGTTTTTTTATAGATGGTGAAAGAAGTGGAAATTATATAAAGAAGTTGGAAGTTGCAGAAGCTGAACAAATTAGAAGTGCTGAAAAAGTATCAGAAAATTGTACGAGTGGATCAGGTAGCAGATGCACCGATGTTGTCAAGAGACGTCCAATACAGAGCCTAGAGCCAGTTACCACAGATGTTGTGGCTTCACCCGAACCAGCTAATAATGTAGATTTTCAAACCAAGATCGTCCCTCGTGAAGCTCAACTACACACATGTTCAAAACCCTCGAAATGGGCATGTTTTCCTTGTTGTAACTCCGCAAAACATCTATGAACAATGGAAGGAAAGGATAGCTCATCACTGGAGAAGAATAGCCAAGAACTTCCAGTGCACACAGAAGATCCCAAAGATTCGGAATTTGGGTGTGTTTATAAGAAGAAATCGAAGAATTGAGATTTCCAAGACTTGGGACTTGGGAGAAAAAAACTCGCAAAAAGGATTGATCTCTACCACTTTTATTTCTTGATGGTTTTGTTTGTAACCACCGACACGTCAACTTTAGATCATTGGGCATTAGGTTATTGTGTGAACTCGTTTGTGATATGTGACAACCCTTAACAGAGAAATATGAAATATGTATCCCGTTAATTGTTTAAAGTAAATAAATGTTGGTACAAAGAAATTCCCAAAAGAACGCTAAACGGAAAATGGAGGGAAAGTACAAAACAAAATTTGTTCGTATACATCATACAAAATATATGAAAAAAAAAATGTGGAAACAAAACACAAAGGCTCTGGTTGGGTGACTCTGGTACAAAATATGACATTTCAACTTAGTAAAATTTTTTTTTAAAAAGATCTATATAGGCCAAGTGCGTCGACATTAACCATTTTTCTGTTTCTCTGTCTTGTTGCCTTTGCAGGAGGAATCTATATCCAAGTGGGCTTTGACTCTCCAGTAATAGTTATCCATCCACTGATAAAAACACAAAAGGTCTAGTCGTCCCAGTCATGATCCCATCCATCTCGGCTCGGAGCTCTCGCTGTCAATCCGTTGGCAGAGATGCTGACACTATTTGCTGCACCACCAGGCGACTTCACAGCGTTATTCTCATCCCAATCATCATCCCAACCCTCGTCCCAGTCCGCTGTCTCCACGTCATGGACCACTGACTCGCTTTCTAAGCCCGACCCTCCACTCAATTCTAGCTCACGGTAAGGCACTCCACTGCCTGCTCGGCGATTCTTACGACACAGACAAAATGCCCAAGCTCCCCCAAATATAACGACGGATACTATCATGAAATAGGCACCGTTAATAGGCGTCACTAGCTTTTCATAAGAGGGGAGATGGATGGACAGTGAGCTTTCTTCTGATGGGTCCATGTGAAGCACACACTCTCCCTTCCCGGCGTCCAGTATGATTTTGTTTGTATCTTTATTGATTGATATGTTTACCTGTGCATAGAGCAACAATTCTTGTCAATTTTTCTGCAAGTGAAAGAAGGTTGGCTCGGTTTCGTTTGTAATAACCAAAGATCACAAAGTATTTCAGACTTCGAGAGATAGACATGTCCAACATAGCGACTTTTTATCAATGGAATCAGAACAGAAGCACATAGTTCACATACCCTTTGACTCTGGTGTTTTGCCAGTGTCAGCTCTCGTAAAGGGTTAACTGGAAGAACGATTTTTGCTTTTAAAGTTTCTTCACCGTCGTTTTGTACTAGAATCAACCATTTCGAAGAATCTGCAATAATAAAACACAACTTAAGAATGTGAAAAATTCAATCAACTAAGCAAAACTTACTGGAGAAAAAAGAACAGATAAAGCATAGACCTTACAAATTGTAAAGGAATAGCTATAATGTGTTAAGATGTTTCATGTCAATGCGATCAAACTCGTTTACAAATCAACACCACATACTAATGTCAAACATTCGCTAGTTTGTGTCGTTGTGACTCAGCAACGAGGCTTCCCAATAATGTAAAGCAGCTAGTTCTTAACCAGATGAAATTCATAAAACCACCATAGCCAATAAATATTTATTTACAACTTGTCCACCCATTCTCATGAACTGCAAACAAAAACCTGCTATATGGCTTTTACTCAAGAGGCTAACCCAAACTTATTTTGATGGACATCATTATCTTTGCATTGTTCAATAAAACAAGAAAGCACATGCCAGAGATATCATGTCAAATAAAAATGTGAAAACTAATAGCTTTGTCCACGTCTACTGGTGGCTCCCGTTCCATAGGGTTCTGGATAGAATAAAAAGGCATACATTTCCACTCCTCGTTGTCACAGAAGGAGAAACACGTTTTTCTCAACTTGACAGTCATGGAAAGCTCAAAACTTTGAAATGCTACACTAACAGTGCCCACAAACTGAATACAGCTTGTATAAAAATCAAACAAAATGGCACTACAAGAAGAGACAAATGTACCTTTTTCAATGCTTAAAGTGCATGCCACCAATGAATTCCCAGTTGTACAAATCTTAGACTTTCCTTCACAGGTCTCTGCACTGGCAGGCTCTGAGCTCCCCTTAGCTTCATTCACCTTAGCCGGAGGAGGATTCCCCGTATCTGGCTCCGTCCCATTTTTCCCACTCTCCAAGCCTTTTGGAGGTGGCGCCATTTTAGCAGGTAATTTTCCATTATCCTCCTGGCTATCTGTTTGGTTCGCTGGAGGCGGGCTTATCGTCTCTGTTGTGTTCAACACTGTCGTGACATTCTTGACACTCTCAGGTTGTAGTTGCGGAGGTGGTGGACTCACCGGATCAGCCTCCTTAGGATTAAGATTCGTCGAATTAGTAGTTGGCAAAGGAGGTGTTGATGAGCTAACATTGGATTTTTCATCTCCAATGGGTTTAAGACTAGGCAAAGGAGACTTCTGAAGCAGAAACATAGAGTAAGTCAATACACATTGTTCAAAACCTTGTTTGTGGAAAAGCAAAAAAAAAAAAAAGAATCGAAATTTTACTTGTTTAGTGGTTGAGTTTGAATTATCCTTTGGTGCTTCTTCATCAACTAACTCCCGCGACTTTTCCAAAGACGAAGCATTGGAGACAAACAAAATCAATAGAAGAAGAGACAAGACCAAGCTTCTATCCATCGCAACCAGGGTCAAACCCTAACTATGACTCGATCGCTTGATTTCTGAGACAGTGGAAGTCCTGATTCGATCTGAAGCGACTAACCAGATTTGAAACTCCGCACCAGAAGCACATTTTTCAGGGTAATCGTAGTCGTGCAAAACGCATCGCAGATTCGCAGATCACAGTCAGGCGATTTGCAGATAATCGCCAAGCTTAGATTTCACGCAAAGGATTGGGAAAACCAGTGAGACAGAGATAAATTATCGATACAGACAAGACTTTTTTTTCGGGCAGAAGATCGATCGGGAGACGAACGTTGGTTCGAGTTTGGTCGTGTCTGAAATTGGATCAACTCGCAGAGCCAAGTCGGCCAAATCCTTGGGCCGTTATTTCTGAAAGCCCATTAGATGTGTCGCATAAGTCTACGAGGCCCATCTTATTCATATTTCTAGTAGAGAAAAAAAAAAAAAAACTGATTAATATAGGCAATTACCGCCAGCTTATATATACCTCTTGATTAAATTAATCGATCCTATATGAGTTCATCAGTGTCCTTTGTGAGATGGTTGTATCAAACAAAGAGTTAGCCGACTAAACAATTACTAGAAACCTAAAAAAAGAAAAATTACTAGAAACTTTAAGTCTTTAACTATATTGAACATATGTTATACAAAACAAAATTTTCCTTGCAGTTTTACTTGGAGAAAGACTTATTTGTCGAGTCGTTTGATAGAGAAAATAAGACTGGCCACTAATTACAAAGATATTAAGCTAAAAACATATCAATTACCAATTACTGGCCAACTCGATATTTTTATGGTTTTCTAGTCTTATAGTGTATAAGAAAAAAAATTGGCTTTTTGAGCTTTCTTGCCTCAAATTTTTTAAAAAAGTTTTACCATTATATTCTAATCAAAATATTTGAAAAAGACTAGCTGGAGAAATGTTAAGCCATTTTGATCATTGAGTGAGAACCGTAGCACATTTATCCACCTATATAAGTGAAATTCTTTTTTTTTGGCCAAATAAGTGAAATTCTTATGTACTATGTTGTAAATAGTAATTTTTTTTTGTTTTGTACATATTAAAAATAAAAATAATAAGAACTAAACGTCATAACACGAGTTTAAACCCTAATACTAATATCCATCTTTATTTCCTTATATCCAAGAAAGACTATAAAGTTCAAACCAACTCTTTGTTTGCCACTACATGATGTGTCTATCGAGGCTTTATGGACATTCTACCGCGCGCCGCATGTAACGTGTTAGGTTAATTTACTTCCCCTTAGCCGCGACGTGCCCGTGGTGATCATATCGAGTATACCCAATATTTGTATGCTATCTTTGGATTGAACTTGCAAACATTTATTTATAATTGCAATATTTTTTCATGAGTGCTTTAGGGTTTATATGCGGTTGAGTAAATAAATCTCAAAAGATATCTGCAATTTCTTGATCATTGCAAGTGTTATCCCTGATTGTTTTTTTTTTTTTAACCTTGCGTCCTAAATATTACATGCACGTACGCCTGTACGGTACGTGTGCCGCTAATACACGAGAGAGAAATAGAGAGAGAAATAGAGAGAGAAAGATAGAGAGAGATCCTTTGTCATTATTACCATATGAAATGTAGTTGATTACATAATAAGAAAATGAAGTCATAAAATGGGAAATAGCAGCATAATACTTTTTATTTAGCTTCAAAGCTGGCAACTCTGATTTGTCGTAATTCTCTATAGCCTCTTTTACACGGCAATCGATATCCTGCAACATTCGAACAACCAAAACAGGTATGTATCAATACATTGGAAACCACTAAGATATAAACTCCAAATGGATTTATTCATGCAACCATTAAAAACGATTACTCCATTCTTCAAATCATCCATACGTTTATATTAGTTACAACCCCTTTGGTATATATTCGATTACGAAAAAAATGAATATTAATTATAATATTATGTAAATTAAACAAAAAAAGAATTACCAGTTTTCTTATTTCTCTTTAATGTATGTGAGTTGTTATTACTGTCACCAGTAGTTTATAACATTTTAAACTGTTATTAGAGTTTATCTAATTTAGCTATCTGTATTTATAGATATATGTAAAACAAATAATTGTACTGTCTTTTGAATTAGTTTTTTCTAAAATGATTGTATATAGTTATCTTTTCTTTTAAATAAATATTAATACAGAGAATATATTGAGTCATTGACATGTATAATAGTACTTCTCTCTAGTTCGACTCAATAATCTGTTTGCAGTTTTCTCCTTCATAATATTTGTGAACTAGGAGTATATATGTGTTTTAGTCGAATTCACTAAACTTTATGTTTTTTTTTTCTTGAGTCAAGTGTATGATTAACTGTCAAGATATTTTCTATGAAAAACAAAAAGATTTTAAAGTTGTATTTCCATATTCCAAAAAGAAACAAAAAATCTATAGTAGTATAAAACAAAAAGCAAGTTATGGAGACGTACTTGTCACAACTGGTGCTGAAACTAATGGTGTAGGGAACTGAAACACCACAAGTGGTAGGGAGTTCGGCCACAAGGTCAGTATTGAGGCCATCGATTTCCTTAGCTGCTGATTTAAGGCACTCACATACTTGTCGACGGTCCGGTGTGGTCTGAGCCAATTGGTTCAATGATTTGACTCCCGCGCAGCAGTCTGATGGCAATGGACCAGTGTTGGTCAAGTAGCCCACGCACTGTGCCAGTGAGCTCGTCACTGTCCCACACGTTATGTTTGACTCTGATGCGGCAGCCATGTAGACCGTAAGGACGAGGAGGCATGTGATGATCTTTGGAGCAAACGCCATTTTTGTTTTTGTTTTTTTTTATTGTTTTGAATGGATTGTTTTTACTTTGTTGAGATCGTCGGTGCGGTTTTTATAATTGGGAAAGCTCATGAATGTCATGCGTACCCGTTAATTATGCTTAGTTTCTCATGCATGCAAATTTAATGGTAACAAGAATTACTATATTAAACTTTAATAATACACATATTCCAATGTAAATACATTGCTTTCCCGATCTTCGCTTAATCGAGTTTCAAGAAGATGTATGTAACATCAGAAATTTAGATTATTAAGCAGGAATTAAAAAGGTATTTCGACTTGGTTTGACTAAAGAAATTAATCACATATTTCGAAAATTTATAAATTAGAAATATTTTACATCATCATCACTAAACAAGGGGAGAAAACCAATTAATTTGAATAAAAAAATTGTCAAAAAAAAGTATTCGTTATTTGCTACGGACTACGTTATTTGGACATGTCAACCAAGGTGGCCAGGCACAAATTATGAGGCCACTCGTACGAGTCCAAGAGAGTAACAAGATCTTGGACATGTGGACCGAAAATGATGATCAAGTGGCACTTCAAGTAAGTGAAGCAAAAGAGAAAAAATGGAAATGGTCCAAGTAAAAATTAATGGTAAAGAGTCGTAGACATCAAAGAAAATGACAAAAGGAAATGATGTAAAACAAATAGACGGGCAAGGAGTTTTTTTAACTATATAGAGATAAGGAAATATAACATTAGCGAAAAGTTCTACAATATTCGATGTTATCTAGTTTATATATTTACGCTTACATATCTTGTATAAATACCTTACCTTGTACATACGCTCACGGCTCACGGCTCACACACGGACTTGGATCAATCTTGGAGGATCTCGACAACTACAACTCGTAGGCAAACTATGCGTTATCATACAAATGTCGATCGACATAATAAAACCTACACTTAAATGTAATCAATTTATTTAATTTATATTATGTTTTCAAATATAATCCGTAAGTAGTTCTTCACACTCTCATAGGATAGATGGTGCAAAAGAAGCGATGCATTAAAAGAAGAACGTGGCAAAATGAATGGCATGAAAAGGGAAACAAAACATATCGTAATTCCATATATCAATTCGAGTATTACATAACATTAACGGCCAATTAAATGGACCGTCATATATTATAAAGAAAGACATGAAAATACAAATTTTAAAAACAACACAAAACAGTAAAAGGAAGTACACTCTTGTAACAGCGAGTGACATCTTATTTTAGTTTTAATAATACTCTCTCATCGATTATCTATATGAAAACTCTTCAACGTCTATCATCTCATTGCTCACCTGACCCTGCAACCAACCAAATACATCAAAATTTTTTATATACGTGGTTAATAACACTATTAAGATCAAATGATAAAGACCAGAGCTTGTATTCAAGTGGTTTATACAAGTGTGCCCAAAAAACTTCGAGTAAACTGAAATAAATAGAATGAGATGGGATTACCTGTTACAGTTGGTTCTGGCGCTGATGGGGTAAGAGATCCTAACACGGCAAGCACCGGGGAGACGAGCAGCACGGCCCGGGTTAAGTCGTGAACCCAAGGCTCTAGCTGCTCCCTGGATGCAGCGGCAAGCTTGCTGGCGATCACGGGTGGTCCGAGCCATGCTGTTGAGCCTCTGGACACCAGAACAACAACCTCGAGGAATGAAACCACCTCGTGTAAGGTAGTTAATGCATTGGCCCAAGTTACTGGCCACTGCACCGCACGAGATTGCTGCCTCGGACGCCAGTGGAGCGGACACTAACATGCACACAATCACCAATGTTGACAACTTTAAGAGCCCCTCCATAATCTCAACTTTGTATTTCTATCTTTTGCTTAATATAAAGTATTAATGGGTTTGGATGATGAAGAGAGCTAATAGAGTTTGTGTTTATATAGACAGAGAGAGAGGTAAGAGGGCAAATACATGAATGTAAGAGCATACTGTGTGGGGTTAGGTGGTTGTTGGTTTCATTGAATGCATTGCTTCATATTTATGGTTCTCTTCTCTCATCTTTGGTTTTTTATATAGTTTTAATAAAATCTTATTAAGCTAGTCACTACGTACTCTCCGTTTTGTCAGATCAGATCTATATACACTAGATCAGCAAGTGTAAGTTCATTCTTTTATGCACATAAAAAAGTCAGACCAATCAATGCTCTACATATCTCCAGTTTAACGACTTGTCAACGTTGGTATGGTATTAGAGTTTTGGTATGAAGGTAAATCTGCAAGAAATTTGAGTATATATTTTAAACTCAACCTATGACAAGGACATAGCTTTGCTTTCGACTATTCAAGTTTGACAAAAATCTCTTCTTTTTCTGGTAAAAAAAAGAATATTTTTTAAGCAAATAAAGTTGATCCTAGATAGATAGAATTGGAAGACAGATTCCAGCATCTACTAAACAGTAGCAGCAACATACATATACTTGACTATGACTCTCACTCCACCTTCCCAATTTCTCCAGCTATTGAGCTGCTTTCCACAACCGTCTCTCTTACAAACCTACATCAAATATTTTCAAGAATTGGGCTTCAAGAAAGAAATATATACATTTGACTTGGAGAGGACAGGAACGTCATTTTGATTACCTCGCCAGCTTCTCCCGTGAAGATTGTAAGACGTAAATGGAGAGTACAAATGAGAATGTGAGAGCTGATCACAAGTTTGACAACATAAGAATACATTTAAGTGTTATCAGCTTATTCTCCCTTGGCTAATAAATCAATTAGCAAGAAGCAATAAGGACTTACCTGAGCCAAAGAGGACGTAAAATCCCGAGGATACATCAATCTCTGACTGCTCCTTCCTGCATCATGATAAATCGTCTCAGCAACATATCAGTAATTACGTGATGTTCATTAAGCTTTACAACTCGACCGTTCACAGAAGCTTACTAGTAAGGAGAGAGGAGAAAAGAGCTAAAAGAGGTCAACAAAATTAGCCTACCAAGTGTATCTAACAAGAACATGTTTTGGCCAGTGTTGAGGATCCCAGAACTGTTTGCGGATCTCCGGGTGTGTATTCACATCTGTTCATGGGTCAGAAAAACTGCTGAGGCTTACGTTCAATATTTGAAGCAAGTGAGTGCTACTCTATGGCAATGAAAGCAGAATAGAAAACTCACAAATCGGAGCATCGAAAGTATGATATTCATTCCTTATAATCAAAGCAATTTAACAACATAACCATGGTTTAGGCAACTTGTACGAAATAAAGAAACCATTGAAGCATAGAATACCATGAAAATGTAAATTTAATATAGTAATGCCACCAGAAAGATGGACTGTATCAGCCTGAACATATCTGGTTAGCCCAGATTAGTAGTGCAGACAATTTCCCTTATTCACTCAAAAGACAGAGGGTAATAAAGAGACACCTAAATCAGGACAGGATATAGCTAGATAAGGAATATTACGTACAGCTAAGAGGCATATCGATAACTTGAGCTGTGACTCCAAGCAAATCTCCTCCAGAATATCTCTGGTGCAAACGAAAAAAATCAAGACACACCGAAATGACTAAGCATACCAGACTTAGTAATGAGTCAAAGCTTATAAACGACTCAAAACCAATGCTAAACATACCAAATCTACATCAATCATCGGAACTTCTGAGCTCTTACGGTTTATCACCAAAAGCCAGTGAATTTGGAATTTCTCACTTCCAACTTGGAATTTTCTGCATGTAAAATCATCCGTAACCACACATCAGACACCAAATCAGCATAAAGACTAGTGTACAAACAAGGGAAAAACAGATGAAGTGTGACGAATCATCACTGTATGTATCTTTCATCAATTCTTATTCGAGGAGCAACAACAGAGAAATTGGTAGATGCTATCTAATAGCTAGCAAAACCAGTGATGAACTTGGCAAATAAACTAAAGACACAGAAATCTCAACTCAACATTGTCAATTGCATTGCAATTTAAAAACGAAATAAATTCTCACATCTTATACGGATCAGTTCCGGTGTAGCCAATTGGTTTCGCTATGGGGATCAACACCTAAAAATTGGCATGAAAAAAAAAAGAAGAGAGACAAATTCAATCTAAATTCCCGAAATTTCTACTCCGTTTTAATAACGTGACCTAATATACACAATACCTCGCGATTAACGGCGAAGATCGGGCAGTGCTTTCCGATCACATCATGCCAAGTGGTTCTCGACTGCCATGGAAATCAACAGATCCTTAGAACACATCAGATTAGATGGAAATTTCAGCTATATGTGAAAGAGGGATACGAACAGAGTGATACTGCCCCATCTTGCTCATCCGGACGATATCTCCTGGTCGATAAGCGCTGGAGAGAGCAGGAAATGATAGTGATATCAGAACTAAAGCTTGGACAAACGCATTCCACCGTCGCGATCCTGCCACCGCAACCATGCCGGCCATAACTTGCTTCTTCGGCGAAGTTTCTCCGCGAAATTTGCCGGTGATGTTATTCGCCTGGAAATTCCGAATTGAAGCGGAGAAACTCTTCTTCACACTATTATTGGGCCGCAAACATTAGCCCAACTTCTAAGATCCTCCACAACCCTGAACTTCATGATAGAGTTCATCAGCATTTTATAATAATTTTTGGAGAAGAGAAAATGTAGAAGAATTTTGGATGATTTTATATGAAAAATGAGTGTCCTTGATACTCATTTTGGGTTCAACACAATAAATTAATAATATTTTATTTTAATTTTTTTTTAACTATTTTAAACATTTGAATTAAATAAAATGAAAAGAGTTCTTAAATTGAGAAAACAAAAGTGAAAGTAAACTAGTAATCTTCTAGATGTCCAAATTTATGCCAAAAGTAGAGGGTATTTTTCTCTAAGCCGTAGCGTGCTCTAGAGTACATTCTCGTGTTTTTTCATCGAAACCCGCCTTGTCTTCCTTGTATAGCTTCGTTTTGGCTTCATCAAAGTAGTCCCCCTCACTTATTTCGGGGTTTGTCAACATCTTATGAAGATTAATGAACATCTTATGGATGGTGTGAATGGGCGAGAAGTAATCCGTTGTCAGCATCCTAAGGAAGATATGACCACGATCTCCTACGTTGGGATGAAAGATTTTGGTTCTCAAGAAAACCTGCAGAAAATAAATATTCAGCAAGCGATTACTACAAAACCCTGAACCGTTTAAAGCATCATACCTTTAGTGGCTTGAACGGGTATTCCGGAGGGAAGTCCATGCTGATTTTGAAGACTCCGTTCTCGTAAGGCGATTATGCTGGTCCGAACAGCACACCCTCCCAATAAAATATCTTTCCATCAACGGGGCATGCCTTGTAGAGCGGGCTCTTAACCCTCTCAATCTTTTTTTTCTGCTTCGTTATGGCTCTCTCCCAGTACGGGATATCCTCTGAACTTGGCATACTCTGTCCACAATAAACGATTTGATCATTTGAGTTACATAAATATCCGAACCAAATGAGAAAAACAAAACTTGAAAACAAACCTAAACTCAAGTAACTACTTAAACCTAATCATTCGATATAACCAGAACATGATTACAATACGATGTCCCTAAACATTCGATACTTGAAAACACACAATGAACCATTTCAACCTAAACATTAGATATGACCTAAACATTCAATACTTGAAAACACACAATGAACAATTTCAACTCACACAAGCGATTCACACAAGCGATCAACAAATCGTATTGACTCACACATAGCGATCAACAAATCGTTTTGACTCACACAAGCGATCAACAAATCGTATTGACTCACACAAGCGATCAACAAATCGTATTGACTCACACAAGCGATTAACTCACACAAGCGAACCATTCAGCAATCTTAAAACCACGAAATCATATTCAAATAAGGGTATGACGGTTTTAAATGAACGAATTAGATGCCAATTGCAATCCCAAATGAAAGCCCCAAAATTTATAAACAATTTCGAAAACCCTAATTTCAAAACATCAAATTTAAAAACCCTAATACGCGAAATCCGGAAACCGATTGAATATAAGAACAATGAATCGCATACAACTCTTAATCAACACCAAAAGCCCCAAAAAAAAACTTCCCGAAGAACCCTAATTTTCCCTCAATTTTGTAAACCCTAATATCGATTCAATCAACCGACCAAAACTCAATCATAAAACTTCTAAAGGATACAGACGGCGTACCATACTGATCGACCGGACGGGAAGCGACGATTCACCGGAGATTCGATCGGAGGGGAAGATTGGATTCGAAGTCGCGATTTTCGCAAATCGCCGTGCAAGTTTTTTTTTTATAAAAAGATAATGCGAAATAACCCCAAATGTTCGACTCCGACCCTAAAAAAATTTTCCCAAACTTCAGCCAATCAGTGCTTGCCACGTAGGCCGGTGAACCTCGACGATACGGGCTCGTCGAGCTCATCCCAGAGAGACAGTATCATCGAGTTTTTGGGCCTAATCGATTAAAACAAATTAAAATAATGATATTGAGCCCCACGGATGAACCTCGTCCATCCCGCGTTGTGGATGGTCTAAGTTGCCCAATTTAACATGTTGACTCGTTTTTGACCAGCACCGTACATTCTTTTACTGTCAATGAGTGAGAAAATACCCGTTAAATAATCGTTAAATTCGATTCGATCTATTATCCCGTTTTGAATCGAATAATTTTTTTGATAACCGTGATTCTACGATAAAATTCGAGCGAAACAAACTTAACGATTTATACTAATACTATTACTATGTTATATTCAGGTTCAAATTCATATAATCTCATCTCATTGGTTCTTTTTCAGATTGTTTTACTAGATTGTGTTTTCTAGTTTTGTCTATTATTTTCGTTGTGATTTTTTCTATTTTTTGTTTTCCCGCGTAATTCTGTTAAAAATTAAAAATTTAAAATATAATCTTAACATTATAAAAAAAACTAGCAAAATCAACAAATACAAAAATTATAATCTAGGTTTCCTCCTTGTGACAAATTTTGTCATAACCCATTTACAAAAAGACAACAAGGATTAGGTAATTCCGAATCTAATACTGTATAAAGGATAAATAATTTTTGATGTATATTTAGTAATATCTTTATAGTTTACTATAAAGAGGATCAAAAGATATGTAATGAATATCCTGATAAAAATAGAGCGATCATTTTTTTTGCTCTTATTATAAAACATTTGAACCATACTAATTAAAAACCTAGGTTTGGAATATTAAGCCGAACCATTTTTTTCATGAAAATAGCACCTTCAAATGATAGTAAGTGGTTTTCATATAATCATTTTTTTAGCAAATAATTGCATTAATATCAAAATATGATTACAAAATCAATATACAAAACTTTAGAAAAATAAATTATTACATATACAAATATATGTGCCATATATTCAAAATGACATCACATGAAAAATGAATTTGACGATGCTGTACAAAGTAATTTAAATTATAACCAATTTTATTAAACCTTTGATTTCAGTTACTTCAGAACTATCATTATATAGTTTGTTCATCGTGTAGAATATCTTCTAACCATTTGCATATATGTATGCATGTTCAAAATTATGCGTCATTCAGAAGAAGATTCTGAACCCATATTTTTTGTTTCCTATATACCAAATCACCTTTTCATATGAGCACAATTTCTCCAAATTTCATAACTTGGGAGTTGGGACTCTACAACCCTAAATTTGACTCCTCTCATAATCTCGTCCAAAAACAAGATTTGCGTTTTCTTAAAAATAAATGATTTTATAAACATTCAACAAATCTCTTAATAATTAACCAACTATATTTATATCAAAGACAGGAATAACTCCCGAATCAACTGATCAAAATCAAATGATGTCTTAAGAATTTAGTTTCATTTAATGCTGGTCACTCTTTCTAAATACTGCATGTTTAAGAAGAAAAAAAAAGTATAGGGAAAGAGCGACATAAAGACAAAAAGTAAGACAAAAAAAAATTGTTCTCGTTATTTTTCCTCTTATTGCAGTCAAAATCTTAAAAAAAAAAAAAAAGGAGAGAAAGAACATCAATACACAAAATCGGTCCTTAACAGTAATCACTTGGGATCCTTGAAAACCTAGAAGAAAACCCACCTGTTCCCTTTTCCCCTGATTTCGCCTTCTCCTTGTCGATTCTCTGTTGCTTCTTCTACTCGCTTGGTTCGTTTTTCTCCGTCGCCGAACTCAATCGGATTCAATTTCGGGGCCGTACTTAAACAGCGAACTGATTCCTCCGTTTGATCAATCGGGTGCTCTCTCGTATCAATCGATTTTTCCTGTTTGGTTTTCTTTGTTAGTTTTAGGTTCTTTCCTCTTTCATGGCCTCGGATCTCGATGATTGGTCTGTATTGGAAGAGAGTTCGTCCTCATTTTCATCGCTTCCGCCGCCTCGTTCTCCATCGAATCAGTCGGAGTTCTGGAAGAGAGTGGAAGAAGCCACCCGTGAAATTATAGAGCAGGTCCATCCAACACTTGTTTCCGAGGATCGAAGAAGAGATGTGATTGATTATATGCAAAGACTAATCAAAATGACACTTGGTTGCGAGGTTAATATTTCTTTTTAAACATTCTGTGTTATGTCCCTCTATAAATTGGCTTTTTAGTTTTCCATTAACATCTGGAAAAAAAAAACTGAGACGTGTTTTAAGTGTTGAATCCTGCTTCAAATCGACTATGTATATTAGATGCTGGCTTAAAACTTTAATGCATTAAATCCAATATTTATGTAGTATTCACTTTTGTTGTTCTTAAGTTGATGGCTTTCCTTGTAAGATTTCTCACACGTTTCTATTGCTGGCTGAAGATTCTTCGACGTTGTGGCTGATCACTTTAACTGACTATGGATATGCTTTCCAAAGTTGTGATTTTTTTTTTCTTTTTTCTTGTTGGTATGTGTCTTTCAGGTGCATTCTTTTGGATCGGTTCCATTGAAAACGTATCTTCCTGATGGAGACATTGATCTCACAGCTTTTGGTGGACCGTGTCACGAGGAAGAACTGGCACATAAAGTATACTCTGTACTTGAGAGGGAGGAACATATTGGGGGTGGCCCGTTTGTGGTTAAGGATGTGCAGTTAATACGGGCTGAGGTTTGTTTGTCCAATCTCTCTATGTTATTCAATATTTATACCTCCACATACTCACTTCTGCCGTGAGAATCCCAAGTGTGTATATGGTGTTTTTGGATGCGTATCATCTCCTCAAGTACCGAACTTTCTTTTCTGTTGTAGGTTAAGCTTGTGAAATGTCTGGTGCAAAACATTGTGGTTGATATCTCTTTCAATCAGCTCGGAGGGATTTGTACTCTGTGCTTTCTTGAGAAGGTAATCTGTCCTCTTCAGTATGACCATGCTGTGTCGAACAAATTTAGCTAACCTTTTTAAAAGGTAAATACAGCCTAAGGCCTATTTTACCTGATCGATACATGTACAGCAGAAATTGAATGTCACTAATCTATCATAATGCTATTGTTTTTTCACCCAAGTGCACGAGGGGTATGTGTTAACTAAATAGATTTTCCTGAATATTGAAAATCGCTCGCCATATCACATTCAATAACATGTTTGAAGCGCGTTTGCGTAGAACAGTAATTCGTATTAGCAATTTCGAAGGATGCAACTGTAGAAGGCAATCTGACAGATTTACGTTAATGATTTGGTTACGCAGATTGATCACCTCATTGGAAAAGACCATCTCTTCAAGCGAAGTATCATACTCATTAAAGCTTGGTGCTACTATGAGAGCCGTATTCTCGGGGCTCTACATGGATTAATCTCAACATATGCTCTGGAGACGTTGGTCTTATATATCTTCCATCTCTTCCACTCATCGTTGGATGGTCCACTAGCAGTAAGAGACTTCGGCAATTTTGAGGGCTACATCATGATTTAGTCTCATCTTGATTTACTGAGCTTTTGTTTTTCCATAGGTTCTGTACAAATTCTTGGACTACTTCAGCAAGTTTGACTGGGATAACTATTGCATTAGCCTGAGTGGTCCCGTCTGCCTTTCCTCTCTACCGGATATTGTTGGTAAGCATTTCATCAAGTTTATGTAACACTGAGATTTTTTGTGGTTTCAGTGTCTACATTTTTTTTGGTTTCTGTAGTTGAGACTCCGGAAAATGGCGGGCAAGATCTACTGCTGACCAGTGAGTTCCTCAAGGAATGTGTGGAGATGTACTCTGTACCTTCACGAGGATTTGACTCAAACCCACGTCTGTTTCCATCAAAGCATCTTAATATAGTTGATCCGCTTAAAGAAAATAACAATCTTGGTCGCAGCGTGAGCAAAGGTTGTCTGCTTTGCTTTTCTCCAACCATCGTAATATTTGTTGTTCTGCTGTTATCTCTCTCCTTATGGACTTCTATTGTTTGAGCAGGCTTAAGACAGTGGCTTCTGACCTTTCCTTGTCTAGAAATTTAGTGTTATGTATGGTTTTCCTGAAAATCTCGGATTAGGGTGCGTAGATTTAAGTGCAGCTAAAAATTCACGTTTTGATATTCTGGAATGTCTTTTCACCCTGAAATCGAAGAAATGTTTAAACTTGAGATAACCTCTAAACTTAGTATGCTCTGTCCATGGAGTTTATGGTCTAGACAACTCTCTGTTTTGGTAAATTTTTAAAGCGCATGGGTATAACTTTCTCTTACACAGGTAACTTCTATCGCATACGAAGTGCATTTACATATGGTGCTCGGAAGCTTGGGCAAATCATTTTACAGTCAGAAGAAGATATAAGTTTTGAGCTTCGTAAGTTCTTCTCTAACATGCTACACAGGCATGGGAGTGGCCAGAGGCCCGATGTCCTTGATGCTGGTCCATTTGTAAGGTACAACAGGTACAGTGCCATATCGCCTCCTTCCACTGCCAACAATTTCCAAGATCATCAAATGGTTTACGAATCGGAGTCTTTCAGTTCATCTGGTGCTGCTGGAAATGGTAGGCATGACCAGGAAGACTCGTTGTATGCAGGAGCCAATGTATCGAGTACAGCTCGGCTTGATTTAAGCGGATCACCTGGTGAAACAGTCCCATCAGTTTCAGAGGACCGATTTGCAGGAGACGCAAAAGACTTGGCTACTGTGAGGATCCAAAAGCTTGAGATTTCTGATGATGCAATGAAATCTATGAGCGTTAGTGATAAGGAAAGTGTCTCTCCTTCGAATGGTAAGCATCATTCTCTCCATCAGATCAGAAATGGCGAAGTATTAAATGAAAACGGGGTGGAGAAACTGCAACAGAATTCCTGCCTTGTTGGTTCCAGAAGAGTTGAAGATTCACATAGCAATGAGAACAAGAACGAGTATGTTGGTCATGTAGAGCTGCCGTTTACAGGCTCAGTACACCACACTCCACTTATGAACCCGGTAACTTGGCCACAGGAGAACATGCATCTCCATTACTCAGGTCATTGTGTCTCTGGCACTCCAAATTTGCTGTCTGACCTCACAGGGGATTACGACAGTCAGCTTAACAGTTTGCGATATGGGCGCTGGTGGTTTGATTATGTCCAAAACGGTCCCCTGTCTCCACTATCTCCTCCTGGGCTATCTCAGCTTCCGAACAACAACAATTCATGGGAAGTAATTCGGCATGCACTGCCATTCAGACGGAATGCGCCCGGCCCAGTAAACGCCAATGGAGTTGTCCCGAGACAGGTTTTCTTTCATGTGAACCCTCAGATGATTCCAGGTGCTAATTTTGGTATCGAGGAATTGCCTAAGCATCGAGGAACTGGAACATACTTCCCCAATGCGGTATTTACTTATACGCCTCTCTCACATACGTTAATGATACTCTGTAAAAATCGGTGACCTCTCAATGGCCAAGCTTCTTAACGTCTCTTTTATGCAGAACCATTACAGGGATAGACCGCACTCCTCAAGAGGAAGAAACTCACACCAGGCTAGGTCGCCACGTAACAACGGCCGAAGCATGGCACACTTGCACTCAGAAATGAATTTCCCTGACAGAAACACCCGTGAGCGACAGCATAATCATCATCTTCACCATCATCCCCACCAGACGAATGGTTCTTGTGATATGAGTCAAGCTGATTCACTTGAAAGCTTCTCTGATTCCAATGGCTCTGCAAATCATCCATATGATAAGGCTCCTGATTTTAGGTCTACGGAGCCTCCAACAGCTGAACTACTCTCCCCTGCGGAGGGCAGCAAGCAAAGTGATATAAGCAGTGGAGGTTATTGTAATCAGTCACAAAGCCCAATATCTATACCCTCCTCCACACAGGAAGATCGGTACAGTATATTCTCTTACCCTTGAAAGTCACTGTAGTATTACCATTTGATCATCAAAGCTACTTCACTGTGTCTAATTCATTATGGTGTGTACGTACATGTAGGGTAACACCTCCACAGTCATACCATTTGACGGATGATCACGAGTTCCCTCCTTTGTAGCTCATGATCTGATCATAAACACGTGCTCTTTAGACCGTTATAGGAACAGGTATAGCTTTCTAACTTGGTTTGTCTCCTAAGTTCTTTGTTTTTACCCCCCACAGAAGAAAAAAAAAGAAAAAGAAAACGATGGAGCTGAATGTTTTGGGCTGTGTGTGTGTTTTTTTCTGATCTTTGTATGTTATTTCTGCTGCTATAGAATTATCTCTGTAATTTTATCAAAATCTCAAAACTCTTTGGAAAAACCTTTGAAGAGCTTTGTATTTTCTACTTAGACAGGTTTGTGAGTGTATAATAGGATTTTTTTTTTGTTTAGTTTCAACGTCACTAATCTCCATGATTCTTCTTGCTTTCTGTTGTTGATGCCCTTGAGTTGCATTTTTTCTTCTCAGTGGATGATGAAAAGTACCAAGATTTTGGTCACATAATTGCTTAAATAAAATCTACCAAACTGAAGTGAATGTTTTTTTTTTTTGTTACTATTATTGTAACAAATTAAAAGTTTACAGATTTAGTTGACCCCCAATCTCACAAGTATCTGTCGATTTTCCAATTGACTTTCAAAAACATTGAACTGAAATATAAACAAAAAAATAATCTTTCAATAAATAGAAATAAATATCGTGGAAGGGGAAATAGTCAACTAGACAAAAGAAAATAAAAGATGAAGACTGTGTCAATCAAATTACGCAATCATCGGTTACATACCATTACACTTAAACCACTCGTCGTCTCTTTCAAACTTCTACAGTCACACTTCACGTTAATCAAATCTCGTTTGACTTCTCTAACACAATCATTCAATAAAGAGGTAGCCGAAAAACAAAAGTTGATCTAAAAACAAACCCGATTCTTGACTTTTTTTTTACGAATCCGAATCATCGATGGTGCATCCGAAGCGTGGCCATTGGTTTTTCAAATTCAGAATTGTCTAAGTGCTCTCGCGTAATCCCCTCTCTTTTGCTCCTCTTCTCTTTCAAATTCTCTTCCTTTTTTTGTTCCAGTATTTTCCCGAGAAAAAGGAGAGAAAACCCACGAATTTTCCTTCTTCACACCCACTTTTTCTCCACTTTGATCGGCTGCAACCACATATTCTCTTTTTAACTTTTCCCACCAAACTTGTCTTTAATTTTTTTTTTCTGGGTCTCCTTTTTTTGAATGAAGGTCCGTAAGGGAACAAGAGAGATGATTGCGAAAGAGCACGAATACAAAATACGACATCGAGGCGTTGTTGTAGAAATGGCTTGGGTTTTGCTTTGCGTTGATTATTCCAGGCTCTTTTGGTTGCTCTTCGGCGTCTTCACCTACGAGAATCACGAAGGGAAACCTAGGATTTTCTAGCACCCTTCTCTTCTCTCCCTCTCTCTCTCTCTCTCTCTCCTTCTCTTCTTCTCTCCCAGTCTCTTGTTTGTCTGTTTCTATTTTCTTCTTCATCGCGATCTTGCTTTCCCCCGATTTCGATTTCGGATTTTCTTTCTTTCGCTGTTGTAAAATTTTCCGCCAATTTTGGAGATTCTGATAGATCCGTGTACGGAGTCATGTATATGGACCTTTCTTCCGCCGGAGCTTCCAATGAATCGACCCCTTACGTCGAGTCTGATCCTTCCGGTCGCTATGGGCGTGTAAGTTTCTCTTTCTCTTACGATTTTACGGTTGACTCTCAGCTGATTGGTAATTTGAACAGTCCTCATATTCGTGAGAAGCTCGTAATTGGTACCTGAAACTGGTTTTAGAGGTCACTTTGTGGCTCTCTCCGTTGATTGTCCATAGGAAGTCTTTGACTTTGATACTAGTTTCTGGCATTGCTTTAGCCTTTAGTGTTGTTCCTTTGGTATGTTCTGGAGATATGCTTGATGAACATTGGCTTTGATCGGAGCTTTTCCTCAGTTTGCACTTGAACGTTAGGTTGATTCTCTGTTTGTTTCTAAGTATCAGTTTTCTTGCATTTGATTTGATGAATCAATGGTGCGCAGTTCAGAGAAGTACTTGGCAAAGGAGCAATGAAGACGGTTTACAAAGCATTTGACCAAGTTCTAGGAATGGAGGTCGCATGGAATCAGGTTAAGCTCAATGAGATCTTCCGATCACCTGAGCCTTTACAACGTCTCTACTCCGAGGTTCATCTCCTCAAGAATCTCAATCACGAATCTATTATCCGCTACTGCACTTCTTGGATCGACGTCAACCGCAGAACATTCAACTTCATCACTGAGCTGTTCACATCAGGCACCCTTAGAGAGTAATGAGAACCCTCTACCTCACGCTTTTTGCCAAACAAACACTAAAGCCTCATGCTTTGTGCAGAATTCCTTAAGAGAGCCTTGTGTCATGTGTCGTAATGTTGCAGGTATCGGAGGAAGTATCAAAAGGTTGATATCCGGGCAATCAAGAGCTGGTCATGCCAGATCTTGAATGGGCTTGCTTACCTGCACGGACATGATCCTCCTGTCATTCACAGAGACCTCAAATGCGATAATATCTTTGTTAATGGTCACCTTGGACAAGTCAAGATTGGTGACCTGGGCTTAGCCGCAATTCTCCGTGGATCACAACATGCTCACAGCGTCATAGGCATTCTCTCTGTTTCTATTTTATCCATGTTCTTATACAGATTCTGGTAAGTTCCAGTATTAACCTTCTACCTCTGACTTGAATTTACCATTAGGAACGCCTGAATTTATGGCACCAGAGCTATATGAAGAGGATTACAACGAGCTTGTGGACATTTATTCATTTGGAATGTGCGTCTTAGAGATGCTTACCGGTGAATATCCTTACAGTGAATGTTCCAACCCTGCACAAATATACAAGAAAGTTACGTCGGTAAGCAGCGGACCTGAGGCTAATCTCAATCATCATCATTTTCAGGAAAAAAAAAACCTTTTGATCTCTTAACTTTCTTTGATGCGGATTTGGTTCAGGGGAAGTTGCCTGAATCTTTCCATCGAATCCAAAACATGGAGGCCCAACTTTTTGTTGGTAAATGCCTGGAAACTGTTTCAAAGCGATTGTCTGCGAAGGAGCTCTTGGGGGACACATTCCTCGCCACAACTGATGAGAGAGATTTAGCGCCTCTTTATAGATTGCCGCCACAACTGGCCATTCAGAATTTGGCTGCAAATGGAACGGTGGTAGAGCATCTGCCTTCAACGACTGATCCAACTAGAACGACAGATATGTCGATAACAGGAAGGATGAACTCAGAAGACCACACCATCTTTCTTCAAGTGCAGATTTCAGATGGTGATGGTACGTTTTAGAGCTCTACTTGCTAGAATTTTCTAGCCTGGTTTGTCTGGAGCATGAAACTTGTTGGGTTGCTTGAATCTTGCTAGCTGAACCAGGCTGCAGGATCTGGGGCAGCGTTAGTATCACCTGTTCATTTTAACATTAGCTTCTGATTCTTGGGTTATGGGGTTAGCCAGAAACGTGAATTGGGAAACTTTGTTTTTAGAATCACCGATGGAAAATGTAGTGATGAACCTGTTTGGTTGTGTAGCAGGTCACATGAGGAACATTCACTTCCCGTTCAGCATTGTAAGCGACACACCTCTTGAAGTAGCTTTGGAGATGGTGAAAGAGCTTGATATCACTGATTGGGATCCTTTGGAGATCGCTGCAATGATAGAAAATGAGATATCTTTGCTCGTCCCAAACTGGAGAGCCCATGACTCTTCTCTCCCGCACCACAGCTTTGGTCATGAAGATGATGACTACAGTGGCGAGGGAGGAGGAGGAGGAACACGCCCTTTCTCCTCTGCTTCTTCCTCTCACGACTCTCATGTAGCAGTTAGAGACAACAACGACGGTTTTGGCAACGATACGATCCGAGGTAACGATGGTGGCGGTAGTAGAAGCTCTAACGCTTATTTGGATTCTTCAGCATACCATTACTCTTCTGCCATAGATGATGATGATGATGATGATCAAAGTCGGAAACAGAGGAGACGTCTAAGGCTACAGAAAATGAGATCGCTAGTGGACACGAGAACTCAGGTACTGCACCGATCGCTCATGGAGTTGATCAACAGACGGCGTGGCCGTGCCCATGTTAAGAAAGAAGAAACACTCGCCTACGGGCCTTTGTGAATATTAAATTTTTTTTTTTGAGATATATTTTGAAATTGAAATTTAGTTATCATGATAAAGTTATTCCAAACTATTAGACATAAATCCAATTCAACATATTTAAAACATCCTTCGGATTTTAGGACGTGTGTTTTTTATAATGCAAAAAAATAAATTGATCTTGCTTCATTAGTATCTCATCGTCTCTGTCTTGCTCCTCCTCCGTTCCCTCGCCACCGTCTTCTCTGCCGCCGTGCTCCTTCTATCCGCCTCCCAAGCCACCGTTCTACCACCACCTCCCTCCGCCTCCTCTCCTCCTGGGGTAGACCACCAGTAACTGTACCGAGATCCGAGATAACTCCGATGTACATACATAGTTATCCGTAATGATTTATGTATATTAACTAGCACTTTTGAGAAAAGATTGCATTTGCCCTTTACAGACCTACAGTGATAAGTTAAAATTAATAACCATAAGATTCATAATAAACTGTCGAGGTGGTTAGATGCAACTGCAAGTACTATCTATTTTATCTTGATACGGAAGTTGTTTATCTTCTTGTATCAAACGTATCTGCAGTTGAACAATTTTACAAACGAAAATGTACAAGTAGTAATAAACAAAGGCATAGATAATAGATAAAAATATCTTTCATAATGTGATTGGCAAAACATATGAATGATATATAATCTATTAAAAAGTGATAATAGTTGATCTATAAAACAAAACATGACGGATACTAAAATGAAATTTGCGGTAATTAGGTTATCTAACCGCATGCATCCAAACCAATCATGTATATTTTTTTAAAAAATCACAAGTTCGCATTCCGACCTCATCTTCATCCAACACCAACTTGACTTTGTCACGTACGAATATAAAAGCAATGTGAAATAGAAGGCAACAATAATGAAATGCATGTACATCAGATCTTTAAGCCAACATAAAAACCTCAGGGCTAAGGTCGAGAGAGAGAGAGAGAGAGAGACAGAGAGAAGAGGAAACATGTATATGGAGAGCAAAGGGCCATCGCCAATAGTTCCACTTGTGCTTGTGGTACTCTTCGGTTGGATCCTTTGCGGCTCATACCTTATCTCAGTAGTAGAGGATTATGTATTACCAATCTTACAATCCGGAACATTCATTGTAGGAGTCCTTCTTTTACTTCTCCTTTTGCTTCTCCATCTCTTATCTTCTTCTTGGACCTCTCCATGGATCCCTTCTCTTCTCCTTCTACCATCTCCTCCGGCCGCGAATGCCAGTGACTCAGACAGCTTTGGCCTTGGATCTTTTCTTTTGCTTTCACTTTTTTTCATCTTCTTCTGGTTGTTTCAGTCACTCTAATTAATGTTTTTTGTGTGCTTGTATATATCCATTCTCTCTTGAGATTTGTGATTTCCAGATTGTGTTTACAAAATATTGCTTTATGCATGTGTTGTACGTCTTCTAGAGAAGACTACTTGCTTAATCACGCAAGATTCGATCATATAATGTAACATTATTAATTTAAGTTATATAGAGACTCTGAAGTCTGAAGTCAAAACAACTCCAAATGACGTGCTATACCATAGTAAAATGAATATCATGCCATTTATTTAAACAAGTTAGAAACAATATATTATTCTATTTATGTAGCCGAATTCTTTTTAGTTTTCAAAAATACTTTTAGATATGTTTGTTTGTTTTGCCGAGAAAATGTGAGTTAAAAACATTTCCAGAAACTGTATAAAAAAATTGGTAACGTCACGGTAGTTCTGTTTTGAATTAACAAAGACTTATAAATTATAGCACACTGCACACCACTGTAGTCTAATAGTTGAATAGTTCCACGTTAGGAAATTATTTCAAGATTTGATATGTACTGTGTGATATCCAATGTCCATATATAGTAAAGATAAGTTAACCAATTTCAAGTGAAAGGCAGACATATTTAACCCAAAAGAAGAGTTAAGCAGACAAAACCAGAATAGTCGATGTCACTTTTTTACTGTATTTAAAATTGCACATTCGCAACTAATTCACTCTCTAATATCGCTAAGAAATGGGATAGTGGTCATTATCAAGAAAGAAGATAATCAACAAAATATGGTGATGTTCGTAAATATCTCTCCCCCCTCCTTTGCATCTGATACTAAGTTTGAGTATACTATACATCTAGATACTATTAATTTGACAAACTCAACAAAATTAGGATGCTTAGTGACTGTCATAAAAAAAAATTGAATTTTTCTGGATGCAAAATGTTAGAGAATCTGGCTGCATTTGCATCTAAACACTACCAAAATTTCTTACTTCAATTCCTTTTAAAAGATAAGTTATGTGATGTCATCCTTATGCTTTTCGATTGCACTCTGAGGATTTATAACTAAAATTTAAGTTTTGTTAGATCAATTTGTTAATCGAATATACGATTATAGTATGTATATAGGAGTATATGTTTCTGACACCCATCACTATAATTAATGTCTAAAATGTTTTTAAATCTGCAGATGTCACTAAGCTAGTGGTGCTCACTGCTCACCCTTTTTACTCGCAGGTAAATAGGAGTGACATGTCTTTTTCTGATTTCTTAGTACAAGACGTAATAAAAAACAAATTATCTTTTGGCGTTTGCATATCTTGTTTTCAGAGTTGTGATGATTTTGAGACTTCTTTATATATCATTTAGTCTATTATTTTGGATTTTAATCCATAAAAATTATTGTTTCCAATAGCTTGTACGCCTTCCTAATGGTCTGTTGTCATCAATCAATCAACATTCACCGATGTACGCAAAATAGTTTTACGCATCAAGCGCAGGATTAAACTTTATCTTAAAAACAAAAAATTTATAAAAACATATAACATTGATGTAGTTCAAGAGAAAAATACGCTGAATTTAACTATGTCGATACCAACCAATTATCTTCAACGTGATGCGGCTTTTAATGAAAAAAAAAGGTTTATCTTCAACTTTCCATATATTTTTGTCTATGAAAAAATAATATCTTTCGTTTATCTTCCAGAAGGCATTGTCTCCGAAAAAAAACATGTTTAAAATCTCGTCTTTCAATTCTCGGAATCCCTTAGCTTGTTTGATTTGATCCCACTGTGATGTTACCACTCTATTGTGGTCCAGATGAAGAACGTGTATATACCAATAGTTGGCCCCAATCATAACCAAATACAAACGTACCGATGTACGACTAGTGATTTTTTTTCCTTTCTTTCTAGTTTTTATTCTTTTTCAGTTCTTATTTAGAAACAATGATCAAAAAAGGAAACTCAAAGATTTGGAAAGTTTTCTAATCATCAAGGAGACCTGCAAACCCTACTTATTCTCCGATGATAAAATTGTTTAAGTACATATGAGTAAATGAAACTATGACTGAGTCCAAAGACTCAGTCTATATATGTCTCTCGGATTAGGACATTTTTCGGTATTTTTTGTTTTAAATTTTATATTAAGATTATATGGTCAAAATCTTATATTGAACGATGATATAATAGTATAATCAAGGTTGTGATTATGACCTAGTCAAAAGACTCAGTCTATATGTCTCTCAGAGTAGGACATCTCTCTGTATGTTTTGTTTCAAGTTTTATATTATAAATATATGTTCAAAGACTCAAAAGTATTTGAACGATGATAATACAATAGAATAATCAAGCTTGTAAACATACAACAGAGTTCAAGAAGGGGATATGTGGCTGTATGTGTACGTTAACTCGAATGATATCAAACCAAATTCATACTTTGTGTATGATGAAACAATAGAAAGATCGTAAAACTATAGTTTAGAAGGGAGAGGCAAAGATGTGATATCAAAAACCTTAAAGATAAAACGAGAGGGATGAATAGAGAAATGAGTGTGAAGAATAGAACCAACGGTCGAGATGAGTTGTCTCTTAACTTGTTTGGTGATACCTCCCATTGACACAATCTCTGCATATGCAGCTGCTTCTTTGTTCCCACCGAACACTATTTCTACGGACCCCTTCAACACCACCATCACCAACTGCAATTAATAAACATATTAGATAATAACATATAGAATTTGGAAGATTGCTAATCTTTTCAACACATAATATCAATGTTTTGAGGAAACTAATCTTAGCCATGCTATTGATCTTTGGGTTTCAATAGGCCCCACAATCCACATTATTTATAGGTTATCTATAGCCTCTCTAATCATCATTCCAGTACGATATTTCAATGAATCTTACTATAAATATCTAATTGAATAAATAATGATGGTGTTGACTTTTTGTTAATTTCGATGCCATTTTGTTATTTTTGGGTCAAAATGCCAATTTCAGTGAAACCTAGTAATAAACAATTTTTTCATTATTGCATCCCAATTCTACGAAGATACCTTAAATATCTTCTCCTTTTCTATTAAAAAAAATAAGCTCATTCCCATTTTACATTTTACAACAAGTGTTGTAAAATGTTATCAAGATTCCAATTTATCCTTGCAAAATGCATCTAAGAAGTCAAACAAGAGGAATCAAACGTAAAGAGAGCTTCTTACGTTCTGAGGCCGTCCGACGATGGAAGCGACGGCTTCGGTGACTTCCGAGTAGAACAAATCGGTGTTAACGCCGTCCAAATTAACGTTTGTCGTAATGTAAAGACAAGGCATTTTCTCAACGTCAACACTAACGCCCGTTTTTAAAACTTATTTCCAAGACTCTGAAGGAACCTAAGGTTGAGATCAAGAGAGGATTTAATGGAGTTGGAGTTGGAGTTGAGGAAGAGAAGATCTCACATGGCCAATAAATAGAGAAACTAAAAAAAAAAACTCTTCTACAAGTTAATGAAGTGTTTAAGAGATTATTGGATAGTATTATTTTAAAAATTCGTTTGATGTGAACAATATTTGATATAATATCTTTGTTGTTTCAAGTCTGACAACTTGACGTGTGACTAAATCAATTACCACAGCTACGTCGCCGTCTAAGAAAATTGTTTTCAGACCCAAATTGGACCACACAAAAAAAAAACACGTCCCTTAGTTTTTTTTTTTTTGGATTAATCAAAACTGATATGGTGAAGCAATTGTTATTAGTATTTTCTCCTTAAGGGGAAACTTTTGAGAACTGTTGAACGATAGGATTAAGTCAAATTTAAGATATTCGTTTCAGATCTTGACCAATTTATACATCCATGTGGTGCGGATGGACCGTCGCTAATTCATCTTAAGATATTAGATTATGATTAGATGCACACTTCAAGATTATGGAAACCGGTAAGGTATGGTTATTGGTTACGATTCACAATTACGATGACACATGTTTATCTCACGTTTTGGTACGAGTTTGCGTACGGTATGAGCCTATATCAACAGCTACTTTCTTTAAATTTGATGTAAACAATTAATTAACTCATGTATATCTTTCTCGAAAATTGTGGTCCACTATGAGAGCGATGCATAAGACTTCGATATGTCCAGTCGAAACTCATGCTTAAATTGCATATAATTCTCATATGTGAACTGCCATATGATCTTCGTACCACTAAACGAGGTGTTAGAAAAAAAATAAAAATAAATTTTCATCAACATCAAGTCATCAACATGTCCCCAATTGAAGCGGAAACGAGATCCATGTGTAACATGCGTTAAGAGCCTCGAAAGAAGATAGTTAGTGTCAAAGAATGAGTTACGATGCACAAAAACACAATTGGAGCAAAAAAATATCCATGCTGAGTTGAAATCTAGCTACCTTTTGGTCGATTCACAATATATAGATTTGAGTACATTATTATTATTAATACATCGGCAGAAAGTGACTATCCAGATGTATTTAGTTCATACAAGGATTTAGTACTGTTCTTTGATGTTGTACTAGAACTTCGGCTTTCTTTATTATTCTGCTCAAATTTTCTATTTGTAAATATTGAAGTTATTGAACTTCCTTTATCTACCTCAAACCCAAAACCTCTTTGTTAATCTACAAGCCAATTCCGGAATATTGATGTCATTGGACTAATTAAGTCCAACGTCTAACGTATTTTCATTAGCAAAAAAAAAACAAAAAAAATAAGTCATTTGAAATTTCACATATTAAGCCGTTATTCTCCCTCAGCTTAAAAGAGTTACCATTTAGAGCCAGTAAGTCGTTGGAAACAAAAAAAAAATATATATACCAAATTGAGATAAGTTAGACAAAAAGAAAAGAGGGTAAATTGCCGAAACAAGGACAGAGACTGTGTCTTAAAGGCATCCCGTATGATTAAAGGGTACTTAATCAATTACTGTTCCACTGTCTCACTAAGTCAAAAGTGAAACTCTAAAGGCTAAAGCCAAAGGTTTCAAACATTTTTAAAGCAAATATGTCCACGATAATTCGCACATTAGAGGTCCACCATGTTATCAGTAAACGCCAAAACATTTTTTCTATTTTTTACTTTTCCAAATTTGTAGAGAACTTTTAACCAAAAAAAAAAAAATTTGTAGAGAACTATAAACACTTGGTGTAAAACAAGAAGTAGAGAATATAAAAACTGTGTGGAACAAAAAAAAAAAGAATATAAAAACTGTTTGACAGAAATATTTAAAACAAAAAAGGAAAAAATCTGAGAATTTGGGAAGTGTTCATATCCAATTTTCTACAAAAGCGAAAGTCGCATGGCTTTGTATTTCATTTTCTTTTGTTTAAAGTAAGATCATATACATGTTAAAGTTTAAAAAATACTCATTAACAAGATAGGGAACAATGATGGCTATTCCAACGAAACTAGTATTGTAAGTTTGAGTTATATAGATGTGGTCCAACGTTACTAGGCTACTAGCATTGCCATTACACATACGTGGTAATAATGATAAGTTATAATTTTGCCAACGATGTTAATTGATATTTTAAAATTGTAGGTCATGGGAATGAACTGGAAAGTATAAAAGTTGAATCGCATGGGGGTGGAAAGATGATTGTATTTGGCTAATTAATGTATTTTATATGCTAACTGATCAGATCCCCAAATATTCTCATAATCCTTCCCTCTTATTATGTTGAAACTTGAAATAAAGTGCTGAGCGTAAACTCCTTTCGCTTTTTATAATATAGAGGAGAGAACAAAGAAAGATTTTATCAAGTTATATTAAAGATGATGGTAAGGCCTAAATATGCGATACCCTATGAGTCTTTTTGTTTTTGACTTTGCACATAACTATGAGCCTTTGTTTTCCTCACATAACATAACTATGACTAATGACTCCATGACTACACATGTGAGGGTCTCCTCTCGTATTGAAATGGGTAAATTTAGATGTTGTGGTCAAAGTTTGACAAAAAATGTAGTGGTCAACATATTTTTGGTTATTGAGATATTACTGTCCATTGGTAAATCATAACTCCAACGGGGCACTAAAAATGTTATTTCTAGCAGTTAGAAAAAGGTTTAAGAGGATATAATTGGTGAAGAGGTTGTTACATGGTATTAATCGATCGTAAGTGACGCACGAGTAATGTTTAACATGATTTTATAGTCTTTCAATTTTAGATTTGTGATCAGTTATACGAAAATTTTCATATATTATCGCATTTCAATGTTTCAAGCAGAAAGAAAACAAAAAAAGGGACTTCGAAGTTCGAACATTTGGTTGCATTTTGCACATATTACATACGTCGCCAAGTTATGATTCCACCATATATATACAGTTGGGTTAGATAACGAACCGAGATCAGTTTTCAAAAAGCATTGCAAAAGATCGAGTAAAACATTCATAGAATATTATAGAACTAAACTCTAAGAAAATCTATACATTACACAGTAGATGATAAGATAAGGGTGTGTTTGAACGTAGAGTCGAGAGTCTTGGAGTTTTGGTGAACGAAAAAAAAAAGAAAAAGAAAAGAAAAGAAACAAAAATGGGACCCATTGGTTAGACTTGAACCCAAACACGCCCCATTCCCCATTCTTCTCATTATTATTATCACCTCTTCCACACGTTACCTCATTTTGCAACTCACACGCTCCTCCCTCAACGCACGTGACTCTCACGCTCTCTGTTTATTTATTTATTTATTTTTTTTTTAGAAAATCTCTGTTTATTTTTTCCAACACCATTCTTCTTCTGCTCTCCGATTCGCCCTAAAAAGATCTTTTTCCAATATCAATTCACATTCAAACCAAAAAACATGTTTCCCCATTTATACTTTTGATTTTCTTTTTCGGTTGTTTGTTTTCAAAATTTAAAACATTTCACACGTATTTGTATGGTCACAGTTTTTTTTAAAAAATCAGATTTGTATATTATAAAAAAAAAACTAAAAAAGGCGTTGGAATTCAGTAAAAAAAATATGCTTTTTCAGATTTTTTTATTTTTTTAAAAAGCCGCGTTATCTGTTCAAAATCAGAAATCACAAGTCACGCCTGTATCCTTCTCTCTCTCTTCCGTCACTCTCACTCTTCCTCCTCTGCTTGCTTGCTTATTATTACATCGATCCTCGTTTGTCTCTCCTCTGTTTTTTTTCCTTTCTTCTTCTCCATCGATCTCACAAAAATCGTGGAAACAAGAAAGACTCTTACTTGACAAACCAATGGACTCTTCATTGTCACCAAACCCATTCGACCACCAAAAAACCTCAAACGCAGAGCCAAAGAAAAGCTTCATAACCTCTCTCATGACCCTCCGTTCCAATCACGTCAAAGAAGACACCTACTTCGTCTCGGAGCTCAAACCCTCCGAGCAGAAATCGCTTCAGGAGCTCAAAGACAAACTCTCGTCTTCCTCCTCCGGCGCCTCCTCCATGTGGGGGGTCCCACTCCTCGGCGGAGACGACAGAGCTGACGTCATCCTCCTCAAATTCCTCAGAGCAAGGGACTTCAAAGTTGGAGACTCGCTGAGGATGCTGGAGAAGTGTCTGGAGTGGAGAGAAGAGTTCAACGCGGAGAAACTGACGGAAGAGGATCTTGGTTTCAAGGATTTGGAAGGTACAGTCGCTTACATGCGTGGATACGACAAAGAAGGACATCCTGTGTGTTACAACGCGTACGGTGTGTTTAAAGAGAGAGAGATGTACGAGAGAGTGTTTGGTGACGAAGAGAAACTCAACAAGTTCTTGAGATGGAGAGTTCAGGTTTTGGAGAGAGGTGTTAAGATGCTTCATTTTAAACCTGGTGGTGTTAATTCCATTATCCAAGTTACTGATCTTAAAGATATGCCTAAGAGAGAGCTTAGAGTTGCTTCGAACCAGATTCTCTCTCTCTTTCAGGATAATTACCCTGAGATGGTTGCTACCAAGGTAATTTTGTTTTTCTTCTTTTCATGATCTTTTTTATTTATTTATTTTTGGGGTGTTTTTAGTGGGTTTATGTTTCTTTTTGGAGACAAGAAGTTGAATTTCGAAATTATGTTTCTGTACTTGTTGTCTGAAAAACCCTCGAAATTGTTACGGTTTTTTCATGTGCGTTTGCTCTGTTTTGCGTGTTTGGGGTTGCTTGCTACTACTACACTCAATTACATTTAACAGAAGCGAATCTCATTCAAGAAAATCTGAAATGTCTTAAATGCTTTGTAAATGTCTCCCTAATGAGGAATCTGAATCTCGTTCAAGAAATATGTTTCTTCATTTCTCTTTGCTCCAAATCCTGGAAAATTGTTGGGTTTTTTGTGTGTAGTTCCGTTCAAATTTTCAAAATGGGTTGAAGAAATAAAGATTGGTTTTAGATGTTTCTGTGTTGGCATCATTCTATGTCTAGTCAATTTTGATTCTTTTTTTTTTGTTTTACTTTCCGTAATATTACTTCCTAGCTTTTGTCTTCTACTGCTACAGTTAAACTGAAGGATTCTTTGTGTGGCCGTACGCTGAATTTATAATCATCACTCTCCCATTCTCGATCACTATTTAAATATTTGACAAAGACATTGCGTAGCATCTCAATATAGCATTCCTCGTATTGAGATTTGGGACAGACCAATATTTTTAATATTTAAAAGGTAGTACTACAAATACTGAACCTGTTACATGTCTAACACTTATCCAACTCTTCATGTTTTTATTTCAGATATTCATCAATGTGCCTTGGTACTTCAGTGTCATCTACTCAATGTTCAGCCCTTTCTTAACTCATAGAACAAAGAGCAAGTTTGTTATGTCCAAAGAAGGAAATGCAGCCGAAACACTTTATAAGTAGAAACTAAAATCATTACATTCCATTTTCTTTTGCTAATATATTTACCCTTTTGTGTTTGAAATATGCATACCATTTTTTGCTATTTCAGGTTCATAAGGCCTGAAGATATTCCGGTGCAATACGGTGGCCTTAGTCGTCCTACTGATTCACAAAACGGACCGCCAAAACCCGCGTCTGAGTTCTCCATCAAGGGCGGTGAGAAAGTTAACATTCAGATCGAAGGCATCGAGGTAACATACATCATTTGACAGAATAGATGCTAAGTGAGTGAAAAAATGATTTGATGAATATTGAAAATGTTATGTGTTTGGATTGTATTTAATAACATTACAGGGTGGAGCAACCATAACATGGGATATAGTAGTTGGAGGATGGGACTTAGAGTACACTGCAGAGTTTGTTCCAAACGCTGAAGAGAGTTATGCGATTGTGGTCGAGAAACCAAAGAAAATGAAATCTTCAGATGAAGCTGTTTGCAACTCTTTCACGACACGAGAAGCTGGAAAACTCATTCTCTCTGTTGATAACACTTTGTCTCGCAAGAAGAAAGTCGCTGCTTATCGTTACACTGTCCGAAAATCTACTACTACAGTCGTCTAATTAAGTCCTCTTTTTTTTTTTTTTTTCAAGAGATGGGTTTCTTGTTGCTACTTTTTTTTTTGGTTGTGTTGAGGACTTTCTTTCTTGGATCTGAGTACTAGGTTTGTTTGCTCAACGGTCGTGTTGAATTTCGCAAAATGCAAGTGAGATATGTATAAAAACAATGAATGTATGACATTATTAATGTTTGGCTTAATATTTAACTATAATATCTTGAAAAGTGGCAATATATCCAAGATTATATGCCTGTTTGGTTATCATCAGACATTTGAAAAGACCAATGGCTTAAGTTTGTTACATTGTAGTATCATTAGTTTGAAGAATCAGTTATTGCATTCATTACCTTCCTTATGTGGATCTATTCTGATATTAAGACCTCTGTATTCTTTGATCTGTACTCGCTCAAAGTTGATTGGTACTGCGATAACGGCATTGCTACCCAATATTTATCCGATGGCAAAAATCAGAAACAAAATTCAAAAAGCCCAACGAAAAAGGCCCATGGAAACAAACTAACAGTCCAAACCAAACTAGAAGACATAAACTAAAAACCCAACGGCTCAGATCCAACATTGTAGCATCAAAATGCTACCTCTGTAGTATCACATGTTACCTCTACTCTGTAGTATCAGAGGAAAGAAAGGTGATTCAATATCCGAGAAATGGTAGCATGTAAATTATTGCATGCTAGGAGGAGATTGAGGTTGCATGATATTTTCCAAGATTTTGAATGCAATGTGAGTTTTTGTTTACATTGGAGCTGCTTACTTTAAAGTGTCAGAGGAATGAATGGCGATTCAAGATCCCATAAGCGGTAGTTAATATAACACTACATATCTATGTAACATTCTAGCCAAGGCGAAAATTTAGAACTGAGGAAGAGGTTAAGCGTTAATGGTCTAGTTGAACTTGGGACTTTTGAAAGACTCTAAAATATACGAAAAGGTTGAGAAACAAGAAAGGTTTAGGTTATACCGTTATAGTAACAATATAATTAATTTGCGTAAGTTGCTTTCGCTCTTGCTATGTGATTGGAAGAAGGTGAGCTGGAAAGTCATGGTTACGAGTGATCGAACAAATAATTTTGTGTTTTGAGTTTTTTGAATATAACTTTTGATCAAGTTGTAGGCGGTTGATTTTAAAGCCCCAATTGTTTGTTTGCATTAAATGTTATTCTTTTGTTTTTCAAATATACACGTAACTTTAAGCCTTGGAACCTTTTTTTTCTTTTGGTAATTGAAAACTCAAACGCCGAACGCAAACAAACAATTAGCATTCCGTCAACATTTTGAATTATGCAAATATGTTTAACTAGATTGCAAAAATAGTAGTATTTGAATTTTGTTAAATAGTATACAGGAAATAATCCGCCGCAATTTTACCAATCAAAAGAAAATAGTGGAAAATATTTCGTTATTCTACTATGGAGAAACCGAATCACCAAACAAATGAGAGAAACTTTTCCTTTAGTTTAGATGTGTAAAAACAATTCAATCAAACAGACAAAAAAAAATTAATATGGGTATATATAGAAAAACTTGAAACATATAGAGAATTGCAGGATTGACAATTGTAGTGAGATTATATTATGCTTTTCGTTCAACTTTTCATCTTCTCTGCGTTTCTCACAAATCAGAGTTAACAACTCAAATCTTAAAAAATAAATATTCCTAACAAAAAGAATTAATATGTAATGCTACTTGAAGAGTTAAGATTAATTTTACAATGATTTTATTCCAACATGATCTCAACTTTTTGGTTATAGTTGGTTTCCACGATCAAAGACCTCAAAACATGACCTACTTTAACGTAAGAAAATCAATAACTCCTGCTAGTTTTTTATTCATTCTATAATTTATCTTCAAAAAAAACCTTAGAGATAAAAGCATTGGTATGGAATATATCTTCATTTTCCCCCCTCAAACATCAAATTGATAACACGGTTTTTGTTACTTATGATTTTCATCATCGTTGGAAAATACTAAAAGAGAACTTTTCTAAAGGTGAACAATCAATTGACCATATAGTCAAATGTAGGCCATCGAAGAAAGCGAGAATCGTTCGTCGGTTTCAAGAAATGGTAGCTACACAAATTTTTATACTATCAAATTCGTACTCGGTTCTCTTTTTTTGGCCTTTAAGGAGTAATAAAGAACAAAAAAGTAAATAGTGTGTAGCTGTGCGTTTGACAATTAGTAACCAATCTTTGCTTCGTGATTTTTCTAAACCTTTTTTTCAATATGAGACTCTGAGTTAATGATCCACATTAACGCCATAATTGCATTTGATTATTCATATTTTATTGGTTGATCTCATACGCGTTACAACCCCCTTGCATATCGAACCTTAGCTTTGAAGAGCCATTTTCCGTTTAAAACTTTGCGTAAAATAAAGTATAATTCGTTATTGGTGAACCTCAACATTACAAATCAGGAATAAATTCCGAGTTAGTCAAAGAGATTCGGATTCCATCCTCCCAATTATATTTATTTAGTAATTACTATATTTTTCTTTTTCAGAGAATTGTTCCTAAAAAGTAAAAAGGGACTGCATCGGTCGCTTTTTGTTTACTTTTTAAAATGCAGATGAATTAACAAACTCCGGTTGCAAAAAAAAAATAAAATAACAAACTCCGTAGTTTTTAATATATATATAAAAAAGAGCAAACTCTGTACTTTAATTATGTAAAAGATATATTGTGTTTGTACTTGTAGTTGTAGAGCCTATATATTGTGAGGGCCCAAACAAAGTTACATGTGTAATTGGCCAGTATAAAACCAATTTAGCTTCTTTCTTTTCTGTCGGGAGCCAATTTTGAAACTAAGTTTAAATTTATAATGACAGGAATTTATTTTTCTCGACATTACAGAAAGCCAGTTAATTCAAGACTATCCGTGTACTAAACAGCTGTAACCTAAATAATCTACTCATCAGTTAAAAAAAAAATTCCATAATAATGTCGTCGGCCGAAATTAGTAGTATGCAATAGCTTTACTCGATTATTGTCCCGTTGACACAATATCCAATTAAAATCACTGTTTTATTGATTCACCACCAATTTCAACACCACACACAAAAAAAAAAAACATAGAGATTTACCAAATCTAGTTAAATTAACAGATCAATAATTAGCTACAAAAAACAAGACAAATTAATCACTTTTTTGTTTTCTAATCACAAACCAACACAGTTTCTGGCTGTCGTAACACCACCGTCAACGACAAGATTGTGTCCATTCACATACTTAGACTCATCACTCGCCAAATACAACGCCGCCTCAGCTACATCCGTCACTCTCAACGTCTCTCCTTTCAAATTAGCCAAACTCCTCACAAACTCTTCCATCTTCTCCACCTCATCACCATCATCCTCCTCCACGTCACCACCACTCGTCTTCCGCCACGCGTTCACAAGCATCGACGTGGCAACTCCAAACGGCGATATGCAGTTAACCCTAATCCCATACCTCCCAAGCTCACACGCTGCGTTCTTGGTCAGCCCAACGATCGCATGCTTCGACGCCGTGTAAGCGTGCGGGCCCATTCCACCCATCACACCGGCCACACTCGCCGTCGAGATTATGCAGCCTCTTATCCCTCTCTTGATCATCGCACGTGCCGCGTGTTTCATGCCTAGCCCTACGCCTCGCACGTTCACACGCATCACTTGGTCGAACTCTTCGCCGTCGAAGTCTAGTATGCTTTTGTGTTTCTTCTGGTCGCCGAGAACTCCTGCGTTGTTGAATAGAATGTCGAGACGACCGTAACGCGACACGGTTACGTTCACGAGGTTTTCCACGTCAGCTTCCACCGAGACGTCGCAGCTTATGAAAGCCACAACGTTATTGGAAGTTAAGTGGGACGGAGAGAGATTTAGCTAGGGAAGAGCCAGCTGCGTCGTCCACGTCAGCGATCACTACCGTTGCGCCGTGTCTAGCGAAAAGCTTGACGGTTGCTTTGCCGATTCCTTGTGCGCCTCCGGTTATGATTGCTACTTTTCCTTGCAACCTATTTACAAATATACATGATTAGTTTACTGCGGAATTGTAAACCAACCAACACTAATATATAAAAAACGTGAACGTATTTGCTAATTAGTTTTGAGTTAGAAGTTTATGAAAGGAAAAACAATGTAGTTGATTATTTTTATATATTATTTACCTTTTATGAAATATAGTTGAATTGGTCTCCTCCATGATGGTGTCGTGGAGGGATTGAAAGGTCTGCTCAGGCATCACTTGGGCCGGCATTGCCGATTTTTTAGTGAGATCGGTAGAGATGGAGAGAAACGGTGAGAGGGAGAATTAATTTAAATGATGAATACTGGTAGATACATACATTTAGTTACACCTATTTATATAAGTGTGTGTGTGTGTGTACGAAAGACAAGTTCCGAGCCAATGTGAAACATCCAGTTACGCTCAGGTTCTAGAATCATTCTAAATAATAATTTAGTATGGACAAAAGCTAACAGATAGGAAAGACAACTTAAAATAATCTTTATGTATATTGGATGGATGCTAATAAATTATATGAACTACAATACATTGGAGTTAGGACTTTAGAGAGACTAGTAAACTTATTTGGGTCAACCGGATCTGTACTTGAGATCTATTTTATGTATAAACCAAAATAATTTTGGAATGTATCAATGATGATATGATATCAGATTTAATGTGAGAAAGAATCTATAAGAAAATAGCAATTAGATATGAGATCTAGCGACTTGTATTTATTATGCTGGCGATGCAAAGATTACAGTGATGCGAGAGATATCTTGAACTAATCACAGGAATCCTCATCACCCCTCCATAAAGAAAGGACTGTGGTAGATACATAAATGTTACCGCAAAACATAATAAAATATTACTCTTCTAGTTCTAGGCTCATTCACTTTCTTAGTTTTATGTACTTTCACGGACGTTCTAATTTTCAAAATGCTCGTTTTATCATCATATAAAAACTTATTTTAAACTTTTATGGTTGTTGTATGTTGGGAGTTAATGATAGTGAGTAGTGACCTTAGTAAATGGACATAGTTTTTGTTGTTGTTCTTGGAGGATCAGAAGAATAACTAAATTGGTAAACTATATCAAATATAAGTTTTAACAATTCTATTGTTTCTCCAGATGTGTAGAGATGTGAGGCTTTTCCTTTTTTAAATAGTTAAATACACAGATATATTCTTATTTTATTACATACTTAGTATACTGATCATATATCAGATTTCTTTTTGTAATGAGTTACATTGTTTGATCGATCGGTTGCGTGATTTCGTCTCAATATGATATATGAATGAATGATGCGCCAGACGTACCATGAACCATTGGACCACTTAGCTATATAATGTTATGTAAATGACTTCATTCATAAGGAACATCTGATCTTAGTTTATATAAATCTTGCTACCCAAATCTTTTAGGATCGAATCATATATTTCGCCTATCAATAATTCTGGATTAGATATAAATAGTGTTAATAATAACTTATTGCATCACATAGAAAAAGGGAAAACACAGCTCAATCAAACCTATTCCTTGTTGTCTAAAGCGATTCATATTATCATCTCAGTGCACCTAACATGTAAAAGTTCAGGTTATTGTTTTATTTTTACAATGCATAGAGAGATAGTCGAATGTTAAATTCGCTATGGAATTAAATAAACAGAAAAACAACATTATTTAAATTCTTCTGGGCCATTTATTGCATGTTAGTTGTGCTGAAGCCCGTTTGAGTTCAATTTTTGCTTTAAACCTTACTTAGAGCAACTTCAATGGGAGAGATCCATAAGGGTTTTCAGCTCATTATTTAATTAGTTTCTGAGCAAAAGTGAGATTAAAAATTTATTCTACAGATTTGGTGTTTTAGGTGTGCAATGGAAAGATCCAAATGGGTTTCCAAAAAAAAAATGGATGGAGGTAGAAAACAAAAAAATTATCTCTTTATTTTTTAACGAATGTAAGCACACCACGTGTCGGAAGAAACGAGTGAAAACGTCCCTAAATAGGAGACGTCTCAGGCAAATAGGAGACGCTGCATGATTAAAAAAATATTAAGTTTCTGCAAAAAATGATCTGAAGACCGCGTTAAAGATGCTCTTAGGCCATTTGCCACGTCTTATTTTGCCTCCCCACATTTTCGGCTCAAATTCAATCTCAAATGACGTAGTTAGATTAAGTTGCGCAATGCAATCATAGTGAGAAAAAAGTGAAAAATATGAACAATTTGACATGAAATTTTACTTGGATGAAGCTATCAATGTTTCTGTCGCAGATTTAGGTGTCCATTGCAGTGGCGGAGGCAGCCTACAATTACGTGGGTCAGCTGACTCAGGTGGAGTTAAAAAAAAATTATGTTGTAGCACTATGACTTTATCCTACATCGACAACCCAGGTGGAATTAAAAAAAAAAAATTATGCTGTAGCACTATAATTTTATCCCACATCGACAAATTGTAACATTTTAGAAGGAATTGTTAAACTATAAATATGAATTCATCTTAAAATATTAATTTATAAGTTGTGGATTTTTTCCAAAACTAATATAACCTAGAAAAGAAGCTGCACTTTAATGTTTTTTTTTAGAAAAAAGGAAATTATATATTGATAAACAAAATATAAATTTTAAGTAATTCACATTAAACTTTACTTTTATTTTTATTCCTTAAAATGTGGCAGACACCAACTATCTATGCTTGTGATTATAACACACAAATTTTTAAATATTAAATTAGAATTAACGTTTTTTTTTGGTGTAGTATAATGTCAAACATAATAGAACAGTTTATAAAAAGAAAATTTCTACTATCTAATATAAATCCAGCAAAGCAAAAAAATATTCAAAAGTCAAATATAATGGAACAGTTTCTGAAAAAGAAAATCTTCACCATCTAATATTGAATTGAATGATTTACCATATGATCCAGCAAACCGAAAAAATATTCAAGATTGAAGGTATGTTTGATTCTTTTTGTTGCGACCGCAACCGTCGAAAAATAATTTTTTGCAATGAAAATTGTGAAAACGAGCTTGCATTATATAATTTTTTATATTATGACCCATGTCAATAATTTTGCTGCCTCCGCCACTGGTCCATTGCCTTCATTATGTTGCATCTTTGTTGGTTTTAATACTGAGAACTGATGGACTGTAAACAGAAAAGGAAATGCGAGCCTGAAGCTGATCTTAAAAAAGTGAGCTCAGATTCTTAAGTCCAAACGTAAAATTGCATGGCCTATCCTTGAACACTTATTATGTTCTGCATCTTCTCATTTCTGACTCGTTTTATTAAATCTAATTTACTAAACGGCAGCTTTGACTTTTCAAATAAAAAAACTAGAGCTGATCTTTAGCTTAGAAAAAACAATAGCTGATGTTTAAAACTTTTAACACTGTTTTTGTGATGCATAAAACTGCAGAGAATCATCTGTTGTTTTTGGATCTATGTTTGTGTCAATTTATCTTTTATACAAAAACTGTTTATTAAAACTCAAATTATATTATAAAAATACATATATTAATCGATCTATTTCATGTTGGATAAACACCACATTGTCGATTAAACCAAAGTTTGATGATGTTGTGAAAAATAAACATTCCAGACGCAAACACAAACTATAACAGAGCAGAAAGTAAAAAAATTATAATTTAAAACAGTCTAACCATTAGATTAACCATTAAAATCAAAATGATGCAAAACCAAACAGTTTCCAGACAGAACAGGAAATAATAATAAAAAAAGAGTCTAACACATGTTGACTAAACGTTCTGAAGCACCTCCTTGAGCACAACCTTCATGTTTTTGTCCTGAGGTTTCACATCTTTATCAGTGAGAAGAACTTTCACACCATCTCTGGACTTCACTCTCGATACGACAACATACAAGGATCCATGAGGTAACACACATCTGGGTTGAAATATACCCACTTTGGAAAGTGTTTGCTTTTGACTTTTATCAATAGTCATCGCAAAAGCAAGTGTCAAAGGATACTGCTTACGCCTCATTTTGATAGGAAAATTTGCATCTGATGGGTATGCATGTATCCTAGGGATTAAGACTTTCTCACCAGCTTTATCACCTGTCATAATTTTACCCTCAAGCACAAAATTACTCAGCCGAGTAATTTCAAGTCTTGTACCGTTACATAATCCTTCGCTAGGCATAATGTCGCTAAGTAACATGACAGGAGCACCAACTTTTAATTTCAAACGATGGCTAGGCAATCCGGGAACGTTGATGCTATTCAAATATTCCATAGGATATCTCATGTAATCACTTGGGCTTGAATGCGATGGAGAAATAGTGTCAGCACTGAAATATTCTCTTTCTTCACCTGATATTGGTTTTAAACGAAATCATAGTTAGTAAGTGCAGAAAATAGCAATCGGTGGAAAGAAAATTAAAAAACGTATCAACATAAGCAATCAAACGCATTACCTGATAATTGTGAAAGCATATAATCATTAATCTGATCCACATCGTTATTTGTAGGACACAAAATGGCAGTCTCTTTGTAAAAATCAGGATTATAGGATTGTGCAAAAGACTCTCCATAAACTTGCTTCACTATAGTCTCGATAGGTCTCTGCATTCAGTTGTCAACAAATGGTCAAGAATATCAACTTCAATTTCATCAACATTGCTCTTTTCATCAGTAATATCCATACTCCATTTAGAGAAAGATTCAGCGATAGTTGTGTGAATTCTTGTCCCCTGAAATTCAATTAAAGAAAACATCATTATATAAGATATCTTCTACTTGTAAAATGTGGGAATCCTTGTTTAGATAGTTTAGAAAAACCAAACGTGTGATTAAGGAACTACAACATGCGTATGAGTAAACGAAAACACATTTCATTACAGACGATGAGTCTGCCTCGACTTTTATTGGACAACGTGCAAATCATTAATTATGAAATACTATGGATGAATATATAACTTAAAATGCAAAAGACACATTATGCACCATGCACTTTTTGTTTTTTTTTTCGCATGTAACAGTATGGAATGCAACCAGATGATTCAAGTAAAAACTGAGTAATGAGTAATCAAAGAAACCTAACAGAACATTGAGTCCCGAACAATCGATTACTATGTATCAAAGTGATATACATAAATTGCAAAATAATTGTTTTTGACAGGTTTGTAATCACTACAAAATCAACTTAAGAAGCATAAAACTTTAACTCAAACCAAGCCTTACCGATGAATCAAGTAAAACCATATCGAACGAGTTTCCTGATTCATTCTT